CACGGACTATACTGCTAGAAGCAGCGTCTCGAACTTACATATAACACGATCCGTTGGATAAACGCGCGAAGCCGTTGCGCATTACACCCTGTGTATAAACATTGATCCTATTTCCTTCGTTGTCTCCGTCTCACTCTCTCTCTCTCTTTGCCTTGTCTTCGATAAACACAGAGTAGAGAACATGGCTGATAGCACGTCTACGGGGGATTGTTCTTGCTTGACCACTCGAAAACGACAAATATCGTTCGTGTATAGCGCGTTGCATCGTCGGACGGCATTTGTTAGAAAAAAGAAGAAGGAATATTCGAATTGTCACTTGGCAATTGCTCAAAGCTCCGATATCTGCACGAATGTACTTGGAAAACTGACAACTCGAGTCTTCTTCTTTTTTTTCGTTTCACGTGTCTTATTTACATTTAAACTTCGCTGCTTATATTTCTCGTTAAAAAAAAAAAAAAAAAAAAGAAAAAAAAAACAGGCAAACGCGCGAAACATAAATACTCGTTTTCATTCACCCGTTTGCGTGTACATATTTTACGCACTCGCCCCTTTTAACGTCTTCCGCAGCGCGAGAAAAAAAACCTTATATATTCTTTATACTATCCGCGTAAAGGTACGCGAATATATTGTTACGTCATAATCCATAACGTTCAGAACGTAGAAGTCGTAGCCTTCTTTACCTGGATTAATTTCGTTACTTTAACTTGTTTCACCCCAGACCCAAGCAGCAGCGGCAGCAGACAATACAATATGCGCGCACAATAAACCTCCGCGGCGCGGGCGTATACGAAATTACACATGGGAGAGTAATTTTTTATCATCTTGATGATTATACGGCTCGGCCTTTGGCCTTATTTTTATTTAATATTTTCCCGCTGCTTTGTTTCCTTTTCTCTAACTCTTATAACTTTTTACCTCTCTGTGTTTTCTTCTACTACCTACCGACTGCTACGGAGCTTGAAATATAATAAAGTTTGCCTCGCACGCTCCGTGCTCCCGTAAACAAAAGACATAAGACAGAGCGCGTGAGTGTACGCGGATTCATGAAAAGCAAGGTTCAACTCGTGTCAGTTGTAATTTTCTTTTTTTTTGTTCGTAACGCTCGAGTAAAAAAATTTCAACTGTTACGCAGCGCGAAGAACAACAACGATTTCAATACGAGCGCGCTCCCGCGTTATCGTAGATTTATTTGAGACGTAATCAAAGCGAACAGCTGGAAAAATCATTTACATACGTACTCTTTTTCGTTGGAATAATTTTTTGCTCGCTCGCCACGTCGTGCGGCACTCGCGAGCTCTTGTGCAGAGTGCAGCAGCTCTCTTCACTACTATGTCGTTCATGCAAGTTACAAATTGATTTGCATGACATTAACATGCTGGTTAAGGTACAAGCGCTTGAAAAACGGGGGGATCGTCGAGCTTGCGCGCAGGACTAGCGCTAATCGAGCGAGCAATTTAGACAAGGATTCGATGGATCTCAACGAGGGAAAAAGAGTATACGTAAAATAATTCAAAGCGCAGTCCGAAATTCTCTAATTTATTTTTTTTTTGCTCGGTTTTAAAATTATATTTCGAAAAAGATTAATTAAAGTAGCACCTTGGATTTTTTTATTTATTTTTTATTTTTTCGTAGCAAAGCACGCGTGCGCGTGTTTAATTCATTATATGCCGTTTATGAGATATATACGAAACGCGAGAACACAAAAGCTCTCGGCTCGAAACTTGTAATGACTATAATTAAAATGAATTAAACTTTGTACGCACGAGGAAAAGAAAAAAAATTAATTTAATTAAAAAATGTTAACACTCGAGCGTAAAATTATATCGATGGAAACGAAGAAAAAAATTATAAGCTTTGAGCTTACATTGTAAAGTGCCCCGAGGAGATGTGCTTTAAATTAGCACATTCGAGCGCGCGTTAATTAAATAAAACTCTCGATAAACGTTGATGATAAACATTAGCTTTGGTATTTTCCTAGATGATATATAGATTAAACGACATTTTCAGCTCAATGAATAATATTAATCTATCTCGGGGGAAACTTCAATTTTAATATAAAAAAAATATCGTGCTTAGGCATAAAAAACCAAAATATCAAAGAACTCGTGGTAATTTGCAGCAATCCCAAGACATTAAAGAACGCAGGTATATAGCGATCTTCATAAGCGCGCGCTAAGACTTTTCCTTTATGCAAACCATAAGCTATACCGATGCATAATGAACACTCGAGTATATATACCGGGCGTAGAAAAAGCAAAAAGCTCGAGCTCTCTAATTTCTCCCTCCTACATCCTCGAAGCTTTTTCAATGATGCCGTTTCGCAGCTACTGCTGCTACTGGTGGTGCTTTAGCTTCTGGTAGCCAAAGTTTAATCCTCCTCTGCCCACTAACATAATGAAGTAGGTGAAAATCCGCTCATTAAGTTTAAAAGAGATCCCTAATGTTGAGAAACTCTTCTCATCGTGCGGGACTCGCGCGCGCGCGCGCGAACGTGTGTATAGCGAGTGCTCCTGAAGCTCGGCAAAAGTATATCTCGAGTCTCGAGCCGGGCTTCATTTCTGAGCCGAGTAGTTCGTCGTCTTAGCTTCGCTCGTAAATCGCGGGTAAACGTACTCGAAATTGTTGCAATACGTCACGTCAAGCGAAGTCGCACCGCCTCGCGACACGACTACCCTACCCGTGTTACAACACTCGCGGCGGCGGCAAAGATTAGTAACTCGAACGCGCAGCAGCAGCTCGCGCGAGGAGAGCGATGCTTTCGGCGAGACGAGATAATCTTGTAATGGCGCTGTGCCGCGCGCTAATTCAACGCGATTATTTCTTGCTCCTGCCGACGTCGACGACGACGACGACGACGACGACTGAGGAAAAAAAATCTGCTCGAGGAGCACATATTACATCAAGATGTAATGCGCGCGAACGAGCGCTCATAGCTGGCGACGGTATGCAAATAAATTATACCGTGTAATGTGCGACTTTGAGTGCGATGACGTTATTCGACAGTGTGAATTAATTCGATTCAATGATAATCAAGCAGAGTTGAAAAAAAAGTCATCGCGTGTATATTTATAAGTCATGGCAAACACATTTAAAACGGTTGGCTTGATCTAACGAGCGAAATGTCGGTTAAACTTGCCTGAATATAAAAGTCCAAAGCTCATTCTATTTTCATCGAGTGTGCGGCACATACAAGTGCCGCTGCAGACCCGAGTAGAGCGAATTTGTGCACATAAAAGATGTCAACAGCTCTAATGGATCAATGGTTTATTTCGATAGCAGCAGCAGCAGCAGCAGCAGCAGCGGCAGCAGTGTCATTTCAAATCAACTCCGTAATACGAAGCTCTAAAATGGCATATTTTATACGAAAGTTTTGCTCTCGAGTGTTTGGGTCAATTTACATAAATACAAATCAATTTGGTACACGGTGTAAAGTGTATGATACATAAAACAAAGGACCAACACGGCGATTTCTCAAACTTTGCGAGCTTTCGCGATGTTAATGGCAATTTTTGCCAGATTGACACTTTGGCTGACGCGCGCGGGGAATTCGAACGATATAACAACATTTAACATTTAGGATTAAAAAAAAAGTGTAATTACATCCGAACCAGTAGGACTCGAGGTGTGAAGAAGAAGAAGAAGAAGAAAAAGCTGTTCGCGCCGCGCGCGTATTGATCCTCGAGTGCAGTGTGAAGTACTCGCTCTGGCTATACATAGTTCCGGGTCGTTCATTCCCCCTCATTTATCTATCTCTCTCTTCTCATTCTCTTATGCGACGGCGCTCGTTAGAATAGCTCGAAATTCTAATCGTCTGAGCACACAGCTGATAATTAGATCGACGATTTTACACACGAGAGAAAGAGAGAGAGAGAGAGAGAGAGGGGCACACGCAAAACCTTTAATCGAAAAGTGTTTTATTTTCCCAAGGATCACTCTGCTATTATAACCGATTCCGAATCGGTACCCACACACGTACACTCGGTTTAGGCAATATAACATCATTCCAATTGAAACGACGAAGTGTAGAAAGCGGATTATTATACGATATCCAGGCAAGAGCTCAAATTTCCCCGCAAAACTGCAGCTGCAAATTTATTACTGCGACGCTTCGTAATGCAAAAACGATCCACCGAGCGTTTCAGCGCCCTGCAACGTCGTAAATAAAAAAAAAAATTGTTTGCCGCGCTCGCAAAATGCGAAATCGATATTTTCGAAATCGAATCGCGCTCGCGCCTAGTACAGAAATATGCGATGACGAGCGGCCGAGAGCAATTTGTATTTGTCATGATCCAGGCGCGGCGCGAGAGTATGCAGACAACGACGGTTCAAAAAAAAAAAAAAAAAAGGGNAAAAAAAAAAAAAAAAAAAAGGGAGAGAGAGAGAGAGAAAGAAAGAAAAGAAGCGAAAGAAAAGCGAGATTTCATATAGTTCTCGAAACATTGTTCAAGTAGAGAATTCCGGGCATTGTACACAGCCGCACACATACACATATCATATATATATATAAAACGAAAAGAGGCGACGAGTTATAGACGCAAATACAAGTTCTCAAAAGAGAAGCAAAGAGAGTTTGAAGACGCTTAAGCGCACGTGCCACGAGCAGCTCGGAACGCCGCTGCCACAAATACATATATATACAGGTAGGTAGGTAGGTACGACGACGTCGCAAGAAAATCTAGCAGCAGCAGCTTCGCGTCCCCGTATACATAGCCATGATATTTTGCCAAGCCGCACACGCAGAGGCTCGCACACGACGTTTATACCGAACTGCAGTAGTGAGAGAGGGAGTTACACGTGGATCTGACGGGAGATTTAAGGAGTTGAACCTGCGGGGCGGGGGTGGCCCTTTAAAATGAAATTCGAATGTCCGCGAACCTTTTCTTTTGTATAAGTAAAAGAAATATCAAATATACTACATCGTATTTTCCGAAAGTTCTATGAAAGACATTTTATCAATTGAACTCATCGTTAATTTGTTTCTTTTCTCTCCTCTTTTACAGACGTAGCGTCGCTGAAATGGAGGCATCGATGAAGTCATGACTCGCTACCTGTCCACGTTCTTCCCGTTGCGGATACTCGTATACTCGTTTTAATTTGCCGTAGGTAATTATACGACCAGTTGTTTTCGCTTTAATAAAAAGTAAACAAAAAAAGTTGAAACAAAATAACCAATAAATTCAGCTCTTTGTAAATTGATCGAATAAAACAAATTGCGCATAGAACGCAATCAAATCCCATCAAGTGCGTGCACAGGCTGAGAGAGAGAGAAAGAGAAAGAGACGAGCTTTCTGTTCTACCCTCTGTCTCTCGAGTGCGAGCACGCCAACGGCAGCAGCAGCAGCAGCTCCTTTTTTGGAGTGGCTTATCGATAATTAATTGAACGTTCTCTTTTTTTACCCACTTTTTTTTCATTTAACCGAATTGCTAATCATTATATCGCTCTCACCCTCTCTCTCTCTCTCAAGCGTTGGACGTAATATAATAAAATATAATACACTCGTATACACGCGTACCGCTACATAGTTTTAACACGAACGAGTGGTGACATTAAATGCCTCGTGGGTCGCGCGAGCATTAAAAGCTCCCATATTGGCGATCATTGGATAACAAATCGTTCAAGCTCTCGTTCAAAATTGCTATTGTTATCGCTTGGTTATAACATCGTAGAATATAAATCCATAGCTTCAAACTTCTCCTTTAACTAGACGCGATGATGATGGTTTTAACGGGCGATAGTTTCGAATATGAAGCTGGACGATATGTTTAGCGCGCCGAGTTTCGAATTGCCGAATGGACGACGCTGTCGATCGTTATCGCGCCATTGCGATCAACAATGGTAGCAATTGTTTCAGGGTATCGAAGGCCAATTAATTTATAGGTGAAATCTACAAATAAAATAAAGTTCAGGCCAACGAAAGCAATGAAATGTACTAATATTGAAGTTTTTTTACGCATTTTTAGTCGTTGCATTATGATCCGATTTGTTATTTTGACATATTGTTGCATATATACATTGCGTGATTTGTGTTAAGTGCTGAAAGCCTAGACGTCGCAACATACATACAGATACAGACACACACATGTGCAATGCACCCACTAACAAAAGAGCAGAGTGACATGGAAAAGAAATAGCAAGCCGAGGTAATATTACCCGAGGGAAGAGTCCGGCTTCCCTCCTCGCACTCACGGATACATATACACCACACACCCACACACACACACACACACACACACACACACACACACACACACAAACTACCAGTCGGACACATATCTCCAAAGTTGCTCGGCTCAGTTGGACTGAGAAGAGGTTAAAATGGTTGCAGACAAAGTTACATTTTTTAAAAGCTACCGAAGACTGCCTTCTTCTATTTTTTCTCCCCGCTTTTTTTTCCGTTGTTTTGTTTCGTCTGACAAGGCCTCGACGACGAACACACGTGTAATATTGGAAACCGAAGTTCAAGTTATATATTATTAAAGCTCGTGTGCGTTTTCCGGTTCTCAGCAGATAATATCGTACACCGGGAGAAAATGATACACCGGTGACGTTTATTATTATGGAGCTGCCAAGACAATGTACAAGAGCTGCGGTGCGACGGTCTTGCCACGTCTCGAGATAGCAGACACGAGTAAAATTAATCAAAGTAACTGCAAAAGTATAAAAGGCAGAGAATAATTAGGTTTATTTGAATAAAAAAAAAAACAGCAACAAAAATTAACTGAAAAAACATAGACGTTTTAGGTTCAATTTTCTTTTAGCAAATATTTTTATGAAATTAAACGTTGACTTTATCCAAATGTCAAAGCTAAAAATTGACAATGAAACGATAAATATAAAATGTGCTTTAAAAATTATTAAAGAAATGTTTCGACTCGCGTCTTTATTGACACGAATGCGTCGTCACGATATCGCTTAAAAAAGGTTTATACGATTTTATGCGACGAAGATGACGGCGATATCCGTCAGCATTATGTATACGAGGAAAAAAGTACATGTAAGCAGCTGCCGCGGCATAAGAGAGCACGAGAAGAAGCGTAGGATGAACTTTTTTACTTTATCGCAAAAAAAGTTCGTCGAAGATACTTCGGGCGAGGTGTGCCGTCGAATCAATGTTTATTAAGTTGATGAATAACTTCTCCACCACGAAGAGAGAGAGAGAAAGGCAAACGGCATTATGCGCCCTTTTGATTGATTGATTCGAACCTGCTGCCGTGGTGAATTTTCATTGAATACATATTCAAAGTATTTTAACCGATAAATTCTTTGGACATAAAGAATTCGAAGGCTTTTACATCGATGAAAGAATATTAGCAAACACAGCAGGAATGATAATAGAAATTTCAATTATCCACGGTATACAGAGCTCTCCGGACTCTAGTTTAAATATTTATAATCTCACCCTTAACCCATTGTACACACACACACACACAGACACACACAGACACACATAAACATGGATTGTAAATAGCTCGAATCGTTCGTTTTCCAGCGATAAAAATCAGTTGACTCTCGCTCGTGTTCAATGGTAAGTGGGCGTTTGTGCGCTATAAGCATTCAACTTTGTGCGAGGACAAACAGAACCGCTGCCGTTGCTGCTACTGGACGCTGCTGCCGCTGCTGGTCCAGCTCTTTTGTGGACTATGAATATGTATAACACAACGGGCGCGCGTGCGTGCCAGGCTATTGTAAACAAGATGTAACTCGCTTTGCGATATTTTCCCGGACAGCGCGTTAAAAGGATTAGACAGTCGTTTACATAAAGTCGGTCGTGCGCGCGGAAAGCCCGCCACCGAGCTTTGGTATTTTATTGTTCGATTGGGAGCTATGCATAAAAATATAAAATGAAAATAAACAATTACGCGATTCGGGGGTCGCGATCCGATCGAATCTCAATCGAGTAATGTTTTAACGCGCGTTGAATCGATTACGGGCCACAAAAAACTATAGTTCGCTGGCCCGCAAACTTGCGCAATAAATTAACCGCGCAGCGTTGCGCAACACGCGAAGCTACGCTTCTTGTTTCTCGCTGCGCTAAATTATGAAGAATAGTTACTTAATTGGCCCATCTTGACGATTTGCACGGGTCATTAAGGGTTTCCCTCGGTTTTCATCGTTATAAAAGACTTCCAGAAGGAAAACGTAGCGCTCTACTTTTTCACTAATTATTGCTCCCGACTCAAGTGGGGCTCTCATACTTCGTTTCTCCGTGTTGTTTTTGGCCCGAAGACCATAATGCGATTGCGAAATGAACAACGATGATGTGGCGAGTAACGAGAGATCTACGCGCACGAAATGCGGGCATTCGCCAGAGCGCGCGGGCGCAAGTAGTAAAAGACTGCTTACGGTCAGCCCCCTCGGGGGCTGCGCTAATATTACGTCACTTTCGCGAGGTCTCGGTAAGGAAAAAGAAAAAAGAAAAATAATATTATTTCAAGAGAAGGAAGGAGAGAGAATAAAACGAATAAACGCGACTGTGCAAAACATACGTCGAAGTTATATTGCTCGCGAACGTTATGTATAATGTCAAAGCTGCAAAATTTCTAGCCGGAGACAATTGTACCGACGTTTTAAGGAGGCAGCAGCAGCCGTTCAACCAGATTACAGCTGACGATAGTAATATCTTTTTATTTGGATTACGGGAAACAATGGATTTAGCTTCGGCGGCGCAGGGATTTAGGATTTTTATATCCCTGAATTTTTTTTTTTGTTTCATCCGTCGGCTAATTTAATAAGTCAAATTTAATGCACCGCGGGAAAAGGGCAGCGACAGCAGCAGCGGGGCGAAACGTCCTTATCGACGATTAAGCTCAGGCCACCGCGCGCAAGTCTCTAATAAGCCATAAAAATTATTCTAATATTCTTTCATTATTCGCTACATTAAATTCAATGGTTTAATAGCCTTAAGTTATTCATTTCGACGGGGGTCAGGTGGGCGTAAAATAACAAGCGCTTAAGCTCCTTTACTCTCTCTCTCTCTCCTTCTCTCTCTGCTTCTTACATTATCTTCTCGAATTCGATCCTTACATAGCTGCTTTGGCAGAGAGAGAGAGAATCTTCCCTCTATATACCCCCGTTATATACCGAGGCACCACCACCACAGGCAGGCACAGCACAATTCCGCAATGTTATATAGATTCTCCTCCATCGATACCCACGGCTCCGTGTAATACGCTCGACTGGTCAAAGAGTCTAGAGTGTCTGTGTGTGTAAAGCGAGGAGATCTTTCGAGCGTGCGAAGCCGCACTTACTACCGCACCCTCTGCGCGCACAGAGGCGAAGCTCGATTGTTGGGCCACGCGGCTATATAGGCAACGCGTGATCGTATCTATATGCACGAAGTGCCGCCTCTAACTCGGTAATACGCGTTGACCCCGCGTGGAAAATGGCTTGTTATGTGCCATCGGACACGACTGCGCATATAACTCTCTTCGCGCGCATTCGAGCTTTGTTTACAAAAATCCAATTTTGCCGGTAATAATGCGAAACTCTCCCCTTTCTCCCTCTCCGTACACACACACACACACATACACACACACCTTTCGCACTTTTCCTTTTCTCTTTTCGTTACCTTCGTTTTATATCGCGCAGCGTATACCGCTACTATACGCGCGAGACGGCCGGCAATTTTCTCGACATCAGCCGGCACATAAATATTTTTTATTACGCTGTCTCTCTGGGCTCTGCCGACGTATCTCTCTCTCTCTCTCTCTCGCTCGCTCTCGCACCCGCACACCCATGGCGCTCGAAGCCGAGCCGACGAGAGACGACGCGACGACCCCCCCCTTGGCGTGCACCTGAACGCGCGCGCGAAGACGTATTCCACGCTGGGGAGATACAACCTTGCCGAGCGCTGCTCTACACTCGAGGCAAGTTTTCTCTTCGCTTTTATATGTTTTACGACTCGGGGAATAACGACAACTTTGCGTTTGGTTAAAAGCTTATTTCACTATATGGGCTATTCCACAACAGGTGTTGCAGGCCCAAAAAATGAAGTTGAAAGTAACCATTTACTCTTCAAGAACACAATGAAAAATGAAAATCCTGAAGGGCACAGCCCCCTAGGTCCAACCCTTATGGATCTACAGGGGCTCAAAGTTGGATTTTCATGGTATGAGGATATTCTGCTTCTTACTCTGCTTTTCTGGTGGGACATAAGAAAAAATTTTTAAACCATGTTTTTTCATGTAAAATTTGATGTAGAATTCAAATTTGTACTCAGATGAGACATTAATAACCTCAAAATCCCTTGAAATAGAAAGTATGGTGTAATAGGACACAAATGTCAAAAAAAAAATATGTTCGTATACCTCAAATCAGCCCATATTGTAATATGTTCATCGATACACCAAAATACAACTTCTGATAAAGTTTGGTAACTGAGTCTCCATTACAGACAATTTGGTAGCTAGCGAAGAGGCAAAAAACATGGAAAATGAGGAAAAAACCATGTTTTTTGGGCTTTCAAAAGCTATATAATGATTTGTAATGGAGACTCAGTTACCAAACTTTATCAGAAGTTGTATTTTGGTGTATCGATGAACATATTACAATATGGGCTGATTTGAGGTATACGAACATATTTTTTTTTTGACATTTGTGTCCTATTACACCATACTTTCTATTTCAAGGGATTTTGAGGTTATTAATGTCTCATCTGAGTACAAATTTGAATTCTACATCAAATTTTACATGAAAAAACATGGTTTAAAAATTTTTTCTTATGTCCCCCCAGAAAAGCAGAGTAAGAAGCAGAATATCCTCATACCATGAAAATCCAACTTTGAGCCCCTGTAGATCCATAAGGGTTGGACCTAGGGGGCTGTGTCCTTCAGGATTTTCATTTTTCATTGTGTTCTTGAAGAGTAAATGGTTACTTTCAACTTCATTTTTTGGGCCTGCAACACCTGTTGTGGAATAGCCCATATATACACGCCGGTGCGCGATTCTTTTTTCTTTGCTTCCTTTTATCATTGTTATTAGGCCCCGAGTTTTTCATTTTATACTTTTTGAATAAAGCTATAACGCTACTTTGTGTGCCTTTGATAACGAGATAGAGACGTATATATATTATTTCAAGGGGGAGTATATAGACGCGCGTGAATTGTTTCATTATTATCATACGTGCATTAGACAGGCGTACGGTGTATGCTCTCCGTAACCTGTTGACTTTTCGCGCTGTATACTATACTATCTTCGCGGATCTTCGGCAAGCTTGTTTGACAAAGGAGAACTACCTGCTTCGAATAGGTACGCGCGAGAACATCGACGCACGCGTAATTGGACACTAGGTTTCACGGCGAAAGTATCGAACGCGAGCCTCGCGTATAATTTATAACATTATAATACATCGGCGCTACGTGTGTATTAATTTCGAGCGTGACGCGAAGAACGATTGCGCGCACGAACGCAATTAATCAGAAAACGAAGATATCGGCCGGGAATCATTACTCGGGCGCGTCTGCCGCATGACGCATGTCTCCATAATGCACTGCTACATTATAATTCATGCTCCCGGCCGGTGCGAGCAGAGAGCTAGGCTCGGATTGCACCCACACGCGCACGCGTACACACATGTCCGACATATTGTTGTATACAAGCGCGGCACAGCCTGAGCAGCAGCAGACGAGGCTTATTATTCTGTTCTCGACACGCGAGTCATGTTGCCGCACGGAGATATATAATAAGGTACGCATACACGGACAAAACGAGCACATACACATACACATACATACACACACACACACACACACACACACACACACACGTCGAGAGTAGCAACGAGAGGATCGTCAAAGCTCGTTGAAATCAACGCCCGGCCCTTGCGGCTGACCATAAATGCGCGTTAACGCTCGAGCCCGAAATTTAATTTGCGTTTATTAACAATTGGGTGGAGACCGCGCGAAGTGTTGCGGGTGCGGGGCATACGGTATTGGGCATCGAACTTTATATATATAGATATAGTAATAGCTATACCAATATGGCGGCGTAACCCCGGAGATTAACACGCGTTTGATACAAATAATCTCAATTAACGCATTCTCGTCGTATTAATTATTATCCGTGGGCATGGAATGTGACAACTTAAAGTCATGTAAAATTTGACGAGGAATCCGAATATCGAATTATTTTTCACCTAAGCCTCCGGAAAAGCTGTGAAAATTGTACGCACTAAAACATTTTCAAGTGTCAGTGCAAAATTGTTGACAATATCAATAAAATTAAAAAAGGTCGTTCGAGGCGGCCGGTAAGTTCAACGGCGCAGAACTCGAAATTTTGCAAGTCGCTACCGCCAGATGGCCATTACCATTTTTTTTTGAATCTGCAAGTGGCAACGTCAAAATAACTGTATAAGTCTTAAAATTCTCTTGTAATTAAAGTAATCGTATTGTTAATAAGTATATCGAGGAGCGCGCTCGCGCTCGCTCTGGCATTAACTATACATACATTTTATCAAAAATGTACAGCTAATAATTTAATAATGGAACATTGTTGGCGAGCATACGTCAGAGTTATAGCCGAGAATGTATTATAACCGACCACAAAATTGTATATTATACCTAACATGCAAACGCAGCCTGCCTATCTCGTAATTTCGTCGACAAAATTTCAACTTAAGTTTTTAACAGCCATGGCTCAAAATACAATATCAAACAAATAAATTATAATGTACCCTTTTCCATCGATTTAATTCCACCAATTTCCAAAATTTAATTTCTCCGTTTTCCATCGATTAAGTGTAAGATCATTTTGAAAATTTCGATTTTTCAAGAACGGTAACGATGCTCATTTATGGACACTTCAGAGCTTTTTACATTCAATTTTCTTCTCATTAATAATAAGCTCAATACCTTTCCCATTTCCCAAAAAGAGACCCCGTTTCCAACGACAGCATAAACAACATTCCCTTGCATATAGCCCTATTACACTAATAGCATCGCTCGAAAATCGCTCTCTTCCTCTTCTTAGAGGTAAAAAGTTTCGCTGGCTCATAAATATTGATAGGTAAAAACTTTTTTACGGCCCATACCACCCGCGGTATACAGGCAACACTATCACCAACACCAACATCACCACCACCGTCGTCGTCGTCGCCGCACTTTTGCGGTTGGCTGGCATGACGCCTGGGTTAAAAAAAAAAATTCATTCTCCAACCCCTGGAAAATTCGGGGCTCGTTCGGTGTGTGCGTGTGTGTGTATTATTCCGCGCGCGGCAATGTACAACGGCACAAGGATGCACTTGGTATTTTGAAAGATAAACGTGGGCTATTTTACGCGCAAGTTAACCGCCCGCCCGACAAGACAAGAGAAGGAAGAAAAGGAAGCCGCCGAAGCCGAGTCATTAATATTCTAGACAAGGAAAGGATGAGCGCGCGGCAGGCAGCTATATATAGCGCTTTGTTTGGCAACCGAAACGTTTGTACGCGCGAGTATACTCGAGACAGCTGCTGAAAAATTAGCGCAAATAGTATTACTTAGGCTTCTGACCAGTTTCAATTATCATTATTTGTCGGTTTTGTCACGAATATTGACAATTTTTGTCGTTTCAATGTTTCAGGCTGTATTGGGCTAGGAGGCAGGAATCTCGATAATGCGTCCAAGGCACTCCGCAACAATGCAGAATAAGTGAAGACGTGGTATGCATCAAAGAATTTATTTACATCATTATTTACATTATTAAATTTTATTACATAGTATATAGTCGTCCCCCCCCCCCTATTAACTCAACTATAAAAAAAAATTTTGCCAGTAAGAAAAAATTAAGTAAGAACATTTTCTCTCGGAGTCTTATTATACACGAAGGCGCGCGCACAAAGAGGAGGAAAGAGAAGCTAAAAAATGTGGTTTTTTTTTCCTCCTTCCTTATATACAATACACCGTTTCAAAAACAGATGATTCGCGAGGTACGAACGAGCGAGCGCGCGCGGCGGCGGCGGGGGGGCACGAAGAAACGATTTTTCAACTCGAACGGCCTCGCAGCTACGACTCTCGAGACAAGTCTTTGGAAAACTGCGCGAGCGAATGAAATATGAAAAGCGTAATACTTTTCAGATACCCCCGCCGCCTGTACAGGAGATAGCTCTGGCAGTTCGTGCAGAAGCCATCATTATTATATCGATGGGAGGAGGTGGTGCGGGAAGGCTGTGGTGGGTATAGAGGTGCTAGAAAAAGGTTCGTGATATATATTCCACTTCTTGGATAATGGAGGAGCTGCTTCAATTTTCCGGTATTTATTACTCGATCGCGATATCGTCTCTCCATAAAGATACTGCATGAATTCCAATTTTATTTCTTTTTCCGTTGCTCCAACAAATTCACAACAGACTTATGAAGGAGTCGTCGGGCAAATTGATCAGCGATCTCGATTTGATACTGCCCAACGGATTCTGACCCACGATCAATAATTTCAGATTAAAAGCTCTCGCCACGGGCAAATCGTCGATAGCGACAAACTTATTATTCCTGAGATTCAGCCGCTCGAGCTTCTCGAAATTCTCCCAATAGGGCAGCGCGCTCAGCTGATTATGGCTCAAGTCGAGCTCCCTCAGCTCCGGCAAATTGTTCAGGAATCTCGCGGGCACCTCGCTCAGCGCGTTATTGCTCAGCGACAAAACTTTCAAGTTGCCCAGAGTTCGCAGCACGTCCGAGGAGATGGGCGCGCGATCCTTCATATCCGCGAGAATCAAAATTTCCAGCGACGTTCGGTCCCGTAGAAAGTCGATCGACGCCAGCGAGTTGTGACTGAGATTCAGGAATTTCAAGGAAGGAGTGCGATCGAACAGCGTGTCGGGCACCTCGAGGATGCTGTTGGACGACAGATCGAGCGCGCTCAATTTTGCGAGATCGCTGAAGGCGTTCGAGTGAAGGGTGCGAATGTAGCAGTTGGAGAGGATCAATTTTTCCAGACTGGGTAGATTCTCGATCTTGAGGCGATTGTTGCGCACGAACTCGGCGCAGTACTTGTCGCAGACGTCCTCGAAAACGTTGCCGTCGAGATCGAGCTCGCGAAGCGACAACAAATCCCGCAGATCGACTCGATGGAGGCCGGCCCGTCGCGCCGTGAGAGTTCGCAGCGTGCGCGGCAAGTCCGCGAAAATCCTGTCCTGGTCGACGACGAAATCGTTGCCGGCGATGTCGAGCAGCTCCAGCCGCGGGAAGCTCTGGCTCCAATTGCCAAAGGCCGGATAGGAGCTGACGTTGCGCAGGTGGAGCTGCCTTAGCCGCGGATACTCGTGGCGCAGCGGCTCGATCGGCGGCTTGGGCGTCGACGTGTAGTACTCGATCGAGTAGGGACTGTACTGGCGCTCGTCGGCCGAGTCGTCGTCGCGCCGATTGTCGCTGAGAACGAGCTCGCGCAACGACGGATGACTGCCGAACGAGAACATCGTTTGGACGCTGAGATTGTTCCAGGACGCGTCGAGCTGCTCGAGATTCGGCAGATCCGCGAAGGCGCCCAAGGAGAAGGACTGCAGACTGGCGTTGCGCAGAGTCAATCGTGTCACGTGCGGACTGGCGACGAAGCGCGGATGCAGAATCGGCCCGATTCGCAGGTGACTGAAGTTCAAGGCCACGCTGCAGCCGCTCGGCACTGACTCAGCTTCCGCTTCCCGATCCTCGTCGTCGTTTTTCGGCGCACCAAAGACTCGCTCGAACAACTCCGCGTCCTCGGCGACGTCCCGAATCACTCGAGGTTTCGCACTGACTTGATTCCATATCAAATAAGTTAGTAGAGATAATTGAAAAAAGGCGAAAACGGTCAATTTTGTCATGGTGCTCGAGAGCGCGCACGATCGACACTGAGAAGCGTCGACGGCCGTGACTCGCGCGATCGATCGCGCCGAAGCCGCGGCAAAAGCATCAATTACGCAAACGATCGAATGAGCTAGCATTAATATTGGACTTTAATCGATGCGAACGCGATCTGACATCACGCGTTTATTTGCAGATACTTCCTGATGAAAAAAAAAAAAAAAATACACGCATAAGCGTACCGTAGCGTTCTCCGTTTTCAACGATATATTATAAAGCTATCAATGACCGGCGACTCGAACGCACCGCCTTGAATATAGTAGTGTATAGTGAAAAATAAAACTCGTTTTTCGCGCGCTCACAAAACGCAACACGTCGACTGAATATATCCTTGCGCATATTTATTAATAAATTTATAATGCATCACGCGACGGACTCTGTGTTCTGTATCGCACTCGATGCGCATTAAGCCAGACGCGCGCATTTCTCTCTCTCTCTCTCTCTCTCTCTCTCTCTCTCTCTCTCTCTCTCTCTCTCTGCTCTTGTGTACCACGGGTCATACGCGTACAGGCGCGCGCGCGAGGGATTAATTAAATCTTTAATTACCATAATATAACGACGGAACTCCTGGGCCACGGGCGCGCGCGTACGCACGATGTGAATATAATATATCGAATGAATTTCCGTTAGATTACGATCCTTGAGTGTGGAATTATACGAATGGGCGCGCGACGCTGCTATTCGTAAATGCCCGTGCGAGCAAATAACTATGTTTTGTATACAATACTGGAAGATTGAGCTGTATTACGATGTATATGATCGACTCTCTGAGAAATCGAATGATGAAGACTCGATTATACATTTTTAGTGCAAGTTATTTCTTCAAATTTGTAAAATTATTGTAATAATTATCACATTCTACGGGCGAGATAAGATACAGTAACAGTGACAGTTTATAATTTTGACTTATATGCAATTATTTTTACTTTACCACTTGCTGATTCTCTGATAAAGGTACTTTACATCTAGTGGTGATAACTATAACATGAATTATGATTGAACTTTCCTATATATTTTGTGCAATGTTCATAAGCAATAAATCAGTATTAAATCCTTCACATTCAATCAAAATGTTAAAATTGAGTATAGAATTTAACCCATTAACATTAATTTTGTATATTACTTTGAACATATGTTACATTCATTTCAACAAAGATTTGTGTAAATTTACGTATTGCATGAAGTGCAATGGGTCTTATTTCGGGGGAAGGGGAGGAAGTGAGCGGTAGACAATTTCCACCAGAGTTTTCAGAAAATTTAGATTTGGAATCACAGCTAGGATAAAGAAAGGGGTAAAAAAATGGACAGAAAGCTTCATCAAAGTATAAGATTATCAACAATTCTTTAGAAAAAGCTATGTGTCAATGTATTGTCAGTGGTTTCTTTAGAACAATGTAGTGTTCACTTATAACATCTAATCACTGTGGATGAAACCACTCATCCAACGTGCGGAGAAAACGCTATTAATCTAAAAAAAATGTACATATCAGTGGCACATGAATCAGTATCGATTATAATGACGATACGATTAATGAGTCAAGACAGCCAACGTATCCCTGCTCACTCTCTCGCTCGCTCGTACTGAGTGCGATTGTTCAAACGGTCGACCTTTTTTTTTTGCTCTTCCGCGGCTGAAAAATGAGCCGTTACTGTATGGACGTCCCATAAATCTCGACGCTTGCAAGCACCCCCACGCTCGCAGCAGCAGCAGCAGCAGCAGCAGCAGCAGCAGTCAGCCTCGCGTGTCTGTATATAATACAGTACAGTATATGAAGGTGTGTGCACGGCACAACGAGTACATGGCGTTTTTTGCGCGCACAACGCGTGTGACGCGCCGGTGAAAAGAAACGACTTTTTCACACCCGCGCGCATACACACATACACACGTGAATCGGCAGTGCACAGTCGTCGGGTCAATGCGAAAAAAAGGCCAGCTTTGCGATCTCTAATCCTCTGCCAGGCTCTAGAGAGCACTTCGCTTTAATGTCTCCCCGCGCCTGACTATATGCAGTCGCAGTCGAGCTATAGAAAGCGCATGTGTGTGTGTGTGTGTGTGTGTGTGTGTGTGTGTGTGTGTGTGTGTGTGTGTGTGTGTGTGTGTGTGTGAGTGCGTTTGTGAATTCAATTAACGCACGCGCGTGTGCTAATTTTTATCTTCTCTTCGTATTATTTCCTTTCATTTTTTTTGTGGATGAACGAAGTATAAAAGAAGAACAAGTGGAAAAAATGTATCTGCACTCTTTTTCTCGTGCTATATGCAATGTATGGCCTGTATCACGTCAACCGTGATAAGCCAAAAAATGAAATCCTTTACAAAGTACTCTTATGGAGTACATTTATAAATGAAAAGTGCTCAATTTTAAGCCCTCTGGGTAAAATTTTCATGGATTTACAGAAGCACAAAGTTTAATCTTTATTTCATTATTTTAATTTTTGTGGTTTTATGAGGTAGCTGCAAGAAAATATTGAAACAATGATTTTTAGTAAACAAAGGTGTAATGATAGTTAAACCTCCGATGTTCAGGTAATACACAATCGTGTCAGCACAAATTTTATTGAAATTTTAGAAAAATATTTATCTATACGTATTTACAACTGTCAGTCATCATTTTTCTTTTCGCACTTATCGCGTGATCTTTATGACCTTTGCGTACTATATTTTGGTGCAAGACTAAATGCGGTTTTAGGATAAATTTCTTCTCGATTCATTGCATGCAAAACCTTCGTAAATTTCATGTACTATTTTCAAGTGGCTTAGTAAATTTGATTTTTGTCCAAATTTTCTGCTCGCATTCGTCGCATAAGTAATCTTAGCGACCTTATTATTTTTTGGTGTGTGATCAGATGGCTTTGATTCCCAAATGTTTTCTCTCACTTGTCAAATGCAAAATCTTTGCGACCCTCATGGACTGATTTTATGTGAAAGAGCAAAGTACTCCTTTGTCCGTATTTTTTTTCGCACTTGTCGCATGCGAAATCTTTCCGACCTTCATGGACTGTCTTTTGGTGCTTAATCAAATTGCTTTGAAGCCCAAATTTCATCTCGCACTTCTTACATACGTAATCTTTGCGACTTTCATGTACTGTATTTTGGTGGATGAGCAAATACGATTTTTGTCGAAATTTCTTGCCGCAATTGTCGCATACGAAATCTTTGCGACCCTCGTGTATTATCTTTTGGTGGATGAGACAAAACGATCTTTTTATAAATTTTTTTTCCACACTTGTCACATACAAAATCTTTCCGACCTTCGTGGACTGTCTTTTGATGGAAGAGCAAACTCGATTTTTGTGTAAATTTCGTATCGCACTTGTCGCATCGGTAATCTTTCCGACCTTCATGAATGGTCTTTATGTGTACGAACAAACTCGTTTTTTTCGTGAATTTCTTCTTGCACCTGTCACATGTAAAATCTTTCCGACCTTCGTGGACTATCTTTTGGTGGTCGACTAAATGGGATTTGAATCCAAAGTTTTTCCCACAATTGTCACACGCGTAATCTTTACGACCTTCGTGGACAATTTTTTGGTGTGCGATCAAATTGCTTCGATCCCCAAATTTTTTCTGGCATGTGTCACATGCGTAATCTTTGTGACCTTCATAGACTGTTTTTTGGTGCTTCAACAAATCTGATTTTTGTCCAAATTTTTTTCCGCACTTGTCACATGCGTAATCTTTGCGACCTTCATGGACTGTTTTTTTGTGCCTAATCAAAAACCTTGGATCCACAAATTTTTTTTCGCAATTGTCACATGCGTAATTTTTCCGATCCTCGTGGACTGTCTGTATGTGAAAGAGCAAAGTACTTTTTTGTCCGTATTTTTTTTCGCACTTGTCGAATGCGAAATCTTTACGATCTTCATGGACTATATTTTTGTGTCTGATCAAATCTGATTTAATTCCAAATTTCTTGCCGCAATTGTCACACAAGTAATCTTGGAGAACCTTAAAGGCGTGATCTTTGCGATTCTCGTGTACTGTCTTTTGTAGTCTTATTAATTTCGATTTTTCACACTTGTCGTGTTTTATCTTTATGTGCTTGAGCAAACTATGCTTTGTATCAAATCTCTTCGCGCACATTTCACACAAGTAATTTTTGAAAACTTCGTGGAATATTTTGTTGTGCTTGAGTAAAGTTGATTTATTTTCAAATTTTTTCTCACATTTGTTACATGAGTAATCTTCACGATCTTTGTGTGCCAATTTTTGGTGCGTAAACAAACTCGATTTTTTCACAAATTTTTTCTCGCACTGGTCGCAATCAAAATCTTTGCGGCTTTTATTTACTGATTTTTGCTCGATGTGAATTGTCTCTTGGTGTATTATCATGCTTGATTCCAGTGTAAACGCATCCTGACAAATATCACAAAAATATTTTTCATCATATTCCCTCGAATTATCTTTCGAGATAATTTCCTCGGATTTTTTTTTCACTATTATCCATTTGGAAGCTTAAAATGAACAATGGGTTCTTCGATCTAGTTCTACAAAAATTGAATGTGTAAAATTTATCTGTTTGGTGTTATGGGTTGTTTCGACGGGAAGATAACATTCAAACTAATTTTTTTGGCTATAAAGATGATCAGTGAATTCGAAAAACGACGTCGAAATCGTTCATGATCATATTGTTTACAATTAAGGTACCGATGTATCTGTTTATACATTGTTCTAACAACATTCGAAACAATTTAAAATTCTAACTTCGCGACGATTCCTTCGAGAAATTTTCTTACCTTCTGAAACTAAGTAATTAAAAAAAACTCCCGACAGACAACATCAAAGTTCACACAACAAACACAGAGTAAATAGGTACTTGTATACGTGTAAAATAAAAAATGTTGACGTTCATTTCAAAATTTGTCGCACCCACTCCTCAGCGTTATTGGTGCGCTTCATAACCTGCTACTGTTTTCACCCATGTATTATTATTTATTTCAGCGTCAATATTCGCAGGTATACCGATTTTCGAGTTATGCGCGTCTGAGTTTGCAGGATTGGTCACACGCAAAGGTTTCCCTTGTGGCCTACCGACGCTCTCTCTGTCTCTCTGTCTCTGCGTTGCCTCTGCGTTGCCTCTGCACGAGTTAAACGAGGCTACTGCTCTGAACTGAGAGAGGCAGAGACAGAGAACTTAACTAAACACTGCACTACCGATGCTTGTACATATAGCAAATGTGTCTTTGTGCGCGCGAACGTCAGCGTATGTTGCAGAAGCAATTAACGTCAAAGACCTATGATATTACCTGACACGAATTATGTATAGATATTAGAGTGTCCCTCAGTTCCCGCAAATTGCAGTGAACCTCGCTCCTGCGCTTTTAAAGTTCGGTTAAACCTAAAAATTGAAAAATTGTAGCTATGCCTCTTACCTATATGGAAAACCCTAAATTTAATGCAGATACACTTAAAAAATTCTTAGGGGTTAATAAAAAAAACGACAGCTGGATTAGAAAATTATATTTTGTTGCCGCAGCAAAAGTATTGGGCTATATTTTTCTCCTAATTATTAGTTATGAATGTAATCATGAGTTCATAAAAAGGGGGATTTTGATTTAAAATTAATGTTTTACTATCGATTGATTATTTGAGTAAATTGCTCAAGAAATCGAAAAAGATTATATCGAAATTAAAGCCAAAATCCACCGTTAGATGGCGAGTACTTTTATATCTATAAATCTGCTAGTTGAAAAAGGAAAAAAATTGTATAAGTCAAAATAAATGGAATACAGTTTTATCAATTAGAAAATCGCCAAGTTCAAAATTGTGAAAGTAAAATAAGATGAAAAATAATACGGGAAAAATTCGAGCGTATATAGAGTATTAGACCCATAGCTACGATTTTTTTCAGTTTAGACTCTATTGAACTTTTTAAAATAACGGGTTTGACGTTCCTCACAACTAGGAAAATAAGCTACACCCTAATAGATCTATATACTATCTATACCTAATAGATATCTATAATAACTAAAGCAAAATATAACGCTATGTATGTACATAAAATCAGCGTAATTCACAAGGCTCAACAATATTTTACGTTAATTTTGCAGAGAGTGTTGGAAAAAGGAAAGCCACCAATGACGCAGTGGACATGAATAGGTCGTCCAGATGGTCGTCACTGCTGGTCCTGATTTTCATTCTTCTAAAATGCGGTTAGTATACGATTTACCTTATTTTCACATAAAACTTGAACTGAAAACGAGCTTTGAGTGAAATTATTAAACTAAAATTTTACACGATTTTGTGTCTAGCTGGCAACGAAATCAGCCAAATCACTATAATGTATACTTCGTTTCTTTCTCTCTACCTGCTATATACCTAGTTCCTGTTTTATTCCGACATTCGCATATATCGTCGCGCAGCGACGACACTCGTGGGACACACCTGAGCTATCCTACGGATCGTAGCTCTCTTTCTTTCTTTTTCTTTAAATTCGTGCTGCTGCTACGTTGCTTACGGTGCACATATACGTAAATAGATATACGCGAGTAGGTATACATGTGTACAGCAAAGAGCGAAGAGAGACGAAAGTTTCCATTCGAAATTTCGAGTCGCAGAAAAAAAGAGGGTTGGATTGAAAATGAAAGGACAAACCACTCGGTCTCGCTTTTCTTTTTAATTTACGACGAAGCGACGTCGACGTCTGAATATTTCATAAGATGGAAAGCTGTGTGTTTTCTGTTTCTTCTTTTTATTCGGGTTAACAGAAAATCGACCTACCGTCTTTGGCTTTAGATTAGCAATCACTTCTTTTTTGTCCAATATAAATAAAACTGATCAAAACTCAAACTAGCATTTGAACTTTTATAATTGATTTATAGCTATAAAATTAATTTAAAAGTTCGAACATCTTCGAGGCTTACAGAGAGCTTACTTCGAAAAAATTACATTCAATTTGTAGAAAGAATAATTCTTCGTCTTTCCATTGCTTTTTTTAAAATTAAAAAATTTTCTAATACTTCGTGCATAATATTTTTACGTTTTCTGGCGTTTTATATTTGTAAAAATATCTTTGACCTATCATAATATTTAGAGTGAACCAATTGAGCTAAAGCATACGGGAGGTCTTAGAACATCAACGGGCGAAATAATTGAACCCGTGGGTCAGCCTGCACTTTATCATAATTATTTTTTCATTTCGCCATTTTATTGCGTCATCTCTAACATAAAAATATTCAATTTAAAATAATTTCAACGAATTTTCGAAAATGCAACGGAAAAGAGAATAAAAGTCCTATTTAAAAATTGAATAAATTTTTTTTTGTTCTTAAGCCCTCTGCAAGTCCTTGAATACGATGTCATTTATTGAAATTTCGAGAGAGTGAGAGAGTAAATAAGAAGTCGAGTTCTGCGTAAAAAAAAGTACTTGTACGAACGAAGTTCAAATTCTTTCGAAAAGATTACTCAACGTCGAAGCTCAGACAGCAAATTCGACGTAACTACTCGGGCCGGTGACTCTGTCACGTGAACGATTCGTCCGGAATATTACGGGCTCGCGTAGCAAAGCCAGCTGAAATTGGTTTTTGTCGATCAATTTTACAAAATGCTACCAAAAATCGAATGTGCAGTATCAACACGGTATATTTTAACTTCTTTTACAGGTCGAAATTCAAAAGATTTTGGGACATATATGAGTAACTGAAATTATTTAAATCAGATGACCGCGCGAACTGACTTATACAATTATTTTCACTTCGCCACTTGCAGATTCACATGTAAAGGTACTCGCCATCTAGTGGTGGAAGCTACAAGTTGTATTATTATATTCAAAGCGGTCTAAATAGTTTTGAAAAAATCATGATTTTGGCGTAATTTGAGATCAATTATTAATTAGTAATAATAATTAGTCATTCAATGGCAATGTATTTTAAAACATTGTCAATGGTAATTTTTTGGTCATTAAGCCATTATTAACGTTGATCATTTCTATCAATAAATCACCGTATAATATTAATGAAATAAGACTTTCGCAGAAGAAAATTATTTTATGGTTATTGATGCGGCAAACTCGCAGTTCGTGCAAAGTACAGCGTAATTCTCTTTGTCCCGTCCGACGTTTGTCACTCGAAAACTATACACGCGGAACGGAATTTCTGCTCGAATGATAATAACACTCACAAGTTCAATAAAAACGAGTTGATGTTGAAAGGTCCTCGGGAGCTCCAGCTCTAGCTCTAGCTCTAGCCTCTCGCTCACTCTCGAGCGAGCGCGATGAAATGAAACTTTATTTCCACGTTCTGTTCGGTTTCCCGGAAGGAGAAAAAAAAGATTTTCATCTCCCCCCAAAAACAGCGTCTCCGATAAATTCGTCTCCATAATCGAACGATATCATTGAATGAAAAATCCATAATCCAATAAAGAGAAACGTCTCGATCTTCTTTTTTTTGGCTCGATCAGGTACAACGCGACCAATGCTGGCATTGGAGGATGCAAATCCGTCGCCGAGGCTCGTGGTAGCCGCCTCGCATACTGCCCTGTCCGGCGATCTTGGCGTGCTCATCATCGACATGCCGTTGGCGTACCGCCCCAGTAGCAGCAGTAGTACAACTTCGAGGCCCGCAACAACTTCGCCCTCGACGGCATCCAGTAGACCGCCGAGTGTTACTTCGAGCACGACGAAAAGGACGACGACGACGACCATCGGCAGCAGCGAGGACGTTGATATCGATCTGGATTCCGTCGAGGAGGATGTCGATTACAGCATCGAGGCCAGTCAGCTCGAGGATCCTTACATATTGAGGTAAGCTACTTACGTTATTTCATTTTTATTCGGCGAGTTTACGATTTTCGTGGTAAATCACAAACGCGTTTACATACATACACACACACACTTTGCTGCTCTCGACCACTTCATTACGCGACTTCGGTCATTGAGTGCCCTATACCCGTTAACTTCCTGCGGGGTATAGTAGTATAGTACAGTATGTATACCTTTATACGCGTATACACAAAATCGTCAGCAACGAACCGCTAATTTTCCCCCAACACGACGAAGGCAACTTTATCGCACGCGCAAGCTCTCGGCCGCCCGCTATAGAAAACTTTCTAATGGACTTCTCTCCCTCTCTCTCTCTGGCTTGCATCAGAGGTCTGATAAAACAGCTCTGTCGCGTGCGCGCGCGCGACGAGGACCGATCAAAGCCATTATACACAGAGTACTGCAACGTTTGCTTTGGCTTCGCGACTCTGTGTATATAGGATTGCGTCGCAAACTCGTCCCTCGTTTTTCGGGCAAAGTAATTGCCTAGCGAGTTCTTCCTCGCAACTGCGCGCCAACCGCTGTTAATAAAATATGCAATATACGACGTGTACAACACACACACACACAGGGTGTTTCGTCTGGACGGCTTCACGTCCGAGCTGATCGGCGAGGTGCCGCTCGAGCAGCTGCCAAATGTCGCCGGGGTCAACGTGTCCCTCGTCGTGCCCTGCGGCTTCTTTTCGCGCGGCGGCAGCTACTCCCTGCAGCTGCAGCACAAGTCCAGCCCCACGCCGGAACGCTTCACCGACACCGCCAGTCTTCACGACGCACAGGTAAATCACGATCGCGCGCACGCACTTCGACCCTCATTGAAAAAAGATTTTTACGTCCTTGACTAAAAATTTCATGGCTTAGATGTGGACGACACTGGACGTCAGATGGCCCACGCCGTCGCTGGCCCTCGAGCCGCAGCACCTGGACACTTATCCGAGTCAGCCGGTCCTGGCGACCCTCGAGTACACGGGCATATCGTGCGCCCCCGCGGCCGGCGTGCCCGTGCCCACCTACACGGTGCAGCTGATTTATTGCGGCGCCAGTGTGCTGTCCTGCGATCCACGCAACAAGAGTCATGTACAGGTATACAAGAAAATAGATACTGTACTTACTGCGATGCTTTGATTGCGCTATATGAATGTAAAAGCTTGAAAGGATCTGCAAAAAAAAAAAAAAAGTTTTCTTATTCTTGACTGTATTTTTTCTTCTTCTTCTCTTTTCTCGTTATTTTTCGCCGACGCGCAGATGCTTTACAAAGAAGAAGTGGAGGGTTTTCCCATTCAAAGGGTAATCACGCTGCGCTGCGAGTTTTTCGGCCTCGCCGGTCACTACGCCCTCAGGCTCAAGCCATCCGATCCGAGCGCGCCGACGACGAGCGCCTACATCAAGGTATGTAATATATAGTATATACTCAGAAAAAAGGGCTCATACCGTTTCTCTCTCCTTTGTCTCTGTAATTTTTTTCTGTCTCTCTCCGTTTTTTTCTCTATTGTGCGTCTAATTTTATCTTCAAGTGTCATACGATCGGTCGTGCATATGTACTACGCGCGCTACGATGACATGGATTAAGCTGCAAAGGGTAATACGATCCTCGCCACGGCGAAGCGAGCGTAAACCGATATCGTTTTCGATGGTGTATACATATAACGCACGCGATGCCCTCCCGCTGCTGCTGCTGCTGCTGCTACTGTTAGACAAATTAACATAATTTAGCAGCGAAATCTTGCGCAGTTCAATTAAAAAATTATAAAACGTTCAAACGATGCACGCTCGGGAGATAAAGGGTAATTATCTATTTCTCGAGTACTGCCGAGAGCGCCGCGGGACGCTCGAGGTATATCGATCGGTTACAAGCATAATTACAGCGGGTTGCGTTGCATGTACAAAATTCAATTTTCAGCGCGCGGTTATTTTTTCGAAAGTTCGTTATAGACACGGCGCCGAGGCACTTGGCTGAAACTTCCGCTCGCAGAGAGCTTTGGCTAGAAGGAAGCGCTTACCGCGCGTGATCGCGTTTATACATTTTTAACGCAATTGTGCATGTGGCGCTGCTTTATTATGCTCCGCTGGCTTATTATATTCCGGTAAATATTTACGGCTCGGCGCATCATTTTGTAACTCCCGCGTCGAGAATTATGCAGCGGCTGTATAGGTTTCACGCAAATTACACGGATACGGCTGATTAATTGATTTCCGCGCAAAAAGCGGCTCGATTTTAATCAGAATAAAAAAAGGAACGCGTTAAATTTATCCCTACACAGAGAAACTTGTGTGATAAAAATTCAAGTCATAATTATGATAAATTACGATATTGATTGTAAAAGGGGGATATAAATTTATAATACAAAATTGTAAAAATTCACTCAGTACTTGATTATTTAATACAAAATATAATAATAAATGTAAAGTGCATAATACATTTCATTGCTACCAAAAGTTTGAATCCTTACGGGGTTTCCTTAAGTCCGTACAATCCTTAAAATGACCTTGGAAAAAAACAAAATACATGTTCGACGTAAAATTTTGGTTCGCTGTATCTTAGAGGTTATGTTCAAGATCAAATCCAAGGTCACCATTGGATTTCCCATGAAAAAATAGTTTTTGATTTTTCTCCTCACTTATTCTGCGAGATTTTCTGAGGTTTCCATATTTATTCCCCACCCTGTATGTCTCCTTCGCTTGTACCGCAACGTCGCAATGCCACTTTAAGCTCTCGCCACTAGATGGCGTCTTAACCTTTTCTGTAAAGCCTCGAGTGGCAAAGTAAAAATGATTTCATATATATAAGTCAAAGTTTTAAATTAAACTATTATCAAGATTACTTTATCATGTTTTACAGTTTGTAAAGCTATACATTTTGTAGTTAGCTCGTAAACTCTAGGTGTCGTATCGCCAACCCCCCTAAGCGATCAATTCTATCGATTGATATAGAAGCAAATTAAAACTAGATAATTATATATAAAAATCATCAAATGAGTTAGAGAGGAATATCATTATTAAGAATTACAGCTAACGTACAAATATCTGAACAATTATTTGAATTTTATCTTCTAAACTAAACTGGATGAGTTACCAAACGTTTTTTCTCAAGTCGAAGTTTATATTAAAATAAAATATGTAATAAAAACCTCCTAAAGTATGTAATCTCACAAAATAAAAATGACAACTTTTTCCTTCATTAAAGAGCAAAACAAATGATAATAATTTTTTCTGTAAATTCTACTAATATTTCCTGGAATAGTCTGTCCAAGTATATCAACAAAATTCATGCAAATATTATTCTATTTCTCTTTCTCCTGCGCTCACAGGTGGAATGGTCGGATCTGTACGTGTTCAACGTTCACGCGCGCTCGATCTATCCGTGCGACGCCTCGAGCGGCGGCGTCGCGGTCCTCTTTCAGTATCCGGCCTGTCGACTGGCCGGGGATCGGGTCCGGGTGTACGGGCGTCTGCGCGCCGACGTGGCCTCGCTGGCGCCCCCGTCGACGCTGCACTACGTCTCGGAGCTCAAGGCGCCACCCGGCAAGCACCAGCTGACCTTCGACTGCGATCTGTTTACCGAGCGCTACGTCGAGTACTGCTTCGTCTACATCAGCCAGGCTTACAACGGCGCCATGTCCGAGGTCCGGGTGGACTGCATACCGACCTTCCCGTTGCAAGGTAAGAGCATTTTGGCGTTATGTATGTTTGTTTTTTTTTATCGGATGCTACTTTGTAATCGTTAAAAGGCGATTTGCGGGCATTAAGTATAAAATAAGAGCACGTCGAGTGTATATTTCATTTTGGACAGCTCAACCGCCTATAATCGGAGCCGGAAACGCACGAGGTGCGCGATAATAATAAAAGTGCGCACTTGTAAGGAAAAAAAACAGTGTCAACGCTTCAACGACGAGTGTACTTGGCTCGAGGCGAAGGTCGTCGATTTCCTCAACGCACAAATTGCGACGACAATTTTTCTGTCTCTCCTACGCAACTCGTTATCGAGAAGCGAATACATGCATCATCGTGAATTATGGTATATAGAGGAACGCGCGTGCCGCAGGTCGATTCGTGCGCGCGCGATTCAAGAAAATTCAGTCGCGAGTCGTCGGTCGTGAGCGTCGAATTCTATCTATCTATAGATTGTATAACCTACGATTGCCGTGAGTGTGTGCCGTTATACCACTAGCTGACAAAATGAGAAGTTTCGCGGTTGCATTCCTCCTGCTGACGATCGGATCCACGCTGCTGCTGCACGGCTGCCACGCCGAAGTAAGTTTTCCGCGCGCGCCACGCAAGCAATTTTATTCTATTTCATTTTTTTTTTTTTTTTTTCATTCGACGCAACGAAAATAATTTATTTTTCTTCTTTTTCCGCTTTTTCTCTCGCGCTCGCCTCGAGCGCAGAGCATTATACTGAGAGCCGCGGAGTCAGCCGAGTATCTACCCATCTTCGGCCAGGGCATAGCCGGCCGGCTGATCGCCTTCAACGACAGACTCGGCAGCGCGTTCTCCGTGATCGGAAGCTACTTTCGCGGATCGAACGTCGTGTCAGCGGACAGCGCTTGATGGTATAGTAGACTGAACGAGAAGTAGAAGCAGAAATGGGAATGAGAGGAGGGAAAAATGACAGAACCATCCGCGAGTGACGTGTATAATGTCTATACCGAGAAGAAGAAGAAGAAGAAGAAGAAGAAGCTCGTTCACGATTCTGATCCATAACTGTATACAGCATAAAAAATTTTACTGCACGTGTGCAAATAAAACGTATCGAATTACGATGTAAAAATCACAATATATAGTCTCTGCGCGTATTGCCGATGGCGAATTTTTCTATACAGTACCGCACACTTTTTTCTCTCTACCCTGGCACCATATATAATATGTGTGTGTTGTGTGTGTGTGGGTGTGTGAGTGCATCGTCAATACGTATCCAGAGTATATGTACACGAAGTCAAGATAGCGAACAATGAGATCATCAGAGGAGAGGGTGGCGCGTCTACGCACATGCACACACGCTCGCACGCATAGACACAGTCGAGAGCTTGCGATGAACAAAGAAAAGAAAGCGGAAAGTCAAATTCCCCGAGGCAATACAGTCGACGAGGCGGTAGGATATGTATGCGTACATGGGCTGCACCGCGCGAAGCTCGATGGGGGAAAAAATGGTGTTCGATTAAAGTTATGTTGAAGATTTTAGGTGACATCTTTATTCTCTGTGGATAAATGAAGACGCAAAGTTGGATTTTGATACATTTGAAGGAAAAGAAAAACTACTCAAATAAGTTTTTAATAGGGATTTCAGTGAGAAGTTCGAATTCGTTATTGAGCTTTTTTTATTGGAAAAAAAAAATCAACTGCAAGTGAAAAAATAAAAATCGATCGTACGACGTGCTCTACGCGGTACGGCCCATATATCGCTTATAGATAGTATCTTCGACGTTGTCTCCCGCGAGAGAGCCCGTGCGACGGCGGCGGTGGTGCTGCAGCATGACGTGTCAGTTCTGATTCCTCGGCTACGTCTCTACGACGCCTGTCAAAAAGCCTCACTTTGCGAACCCTTAGCGTAGGAGAGAGAGAGAGCATACGACGGGTTGTACGTACACCGCAAGCCCGTGTCTATGTGTGTGTGTATCGTGACTCGACGATCAGAAACCATTCCGAGAAGACAGCTTCCATGGATGTATTTATATTCATATGTATTATACATTCCAAGTTGTGTGGGCGAGGGCGCGCGAATTCGAGTTGAATTTTAGGATATCCATAAAGTCCGTGTATAGCGGTTTAGGGTGTGAGTTTGAACAGTTACCGTAAACGGTAACAATCAAATAGTTCATTCATAATCATCGTTTCGGAAAGTTTTAAGTATACATACAGTTTAAAACGTTTTATGAAAATGTCACGGGTCATACTTTTGACTTTCGTAATCTCTGGTATTAATGCGTTTCAAGCATCCACCACTAGATGGCGAGTACCTTCATCTCTAAACCTGCAAGTGGTAAAGTTAAAATAATTATATATAAGTCATCATATTGCACGAAAAAAAGCTCATGAACCAATTTTTTTTCATTGATTTTTTTTTCACTTATAAAAAAGAGAACGGCCGAAAAGTGAAGCCCCGTAAAACGATCTCTGATTGGCTGACACTGACGACGACGCCCCACGCGAGCCGACTCCATACGAGTGCCTGCGCTGCTAACTGTCAACAGACTGCAGTTAGTACTTAAGTAACCTCATAACACGAATGAAAGAAATTGACGAGCGCGAAGCGCGTTTGAAACATACTAGTTCTTTTAAATTTGACTCGGAAAAAATCATCGCCTACAAATATAGTACTTGCACATCCTCGCGCGGGCGCGCATACATATTTCATAATACATTTTAAAAAGCCGCAACCCCACCCGTCTATGCTCATTCTCTCTGGAGGACTCGTCTCCTTCTCTATCATTATACGTCGACGTATATACATGCGTTATACATCAGCATAATCGCGAGCATGAATTTGGATCCTGGGATGGAATAAAAATGTCCTCTCTCTCTTTCTCCTGCCGAGAGAGAGAAAAGTCGCAAGACGTGTAAAACGAGCGCGCGGAGCTTGCGGCGCGTTAACCTTTTCTCGGTCCCCGAGAGACTCTCTCGGTTGGGTGTCGCGTGAAAAAAATGCATCGCATATAGAAGTCGAGAGACAAGGGTGAGAGACAGAGAGATGGAAGATCGAAATAAAAAAAAAATAACGAAAAGGAAGGAAAAAAGTTTCGTCGCTTCGGTATTTACCAATATACTACACGAGCTGGCACGCCGTTGTGTCGCTAGGCTTGTTAACCCATTTATTATTTGTTTGCAGCGCTACTCATACAGCAGCAGCAGCAGCAGTAGTAGTAGTAGTAGTAGTTGTAGTTTTGTTCGGCGCGCGCACACGTATAGACAGATACATATATATTATATATAGGCAGACAAAGCGACAAATGGTCTATTGGCTTGTGACAGAGAACTGGCTGCGCACTGGAAGATAGCGTACGTACGCTCGACCTATATAACGGCGCGGCTCTCTTTCTCTCATACTCTGGAGCAACGATGTATCCATCCTCGCGCGCACGTGTACACACATATATATCCGCGTATGAACTAGTGCGAACTCGTACGATGAATTTCTCGCTCGTATATAATATACGTGTGTAGGTAGGTAGATAGAAGTGTGGGTGTGTGTACACCAGCACAGCTCGGAAAGTTAATCTTGAAATTCCCATTTGAGAGTCACGAGCAGCACAAATGCTGGGGGACAGAGCAGAGAGAGAGAGAGAGAGAGAGAGAGAGCTTGCGAACACGGACGCCAGCAGCAGCAGCACGAAGGAAATCCGGGATGAGCTCCATATGACTTAGCGTGAGCGCGCACGAGTCCTCTCGTCGTTTTACCCTTTTAATTCCGATAAGGCTAGCTGCTGCGCTGATACTGACTACTTTGCAGAGCTGCTGCTGCTGCCAACCGAGCGAAAGCTTGAATACTTTCGCAGTAGAGTAGCAGTAGCTCTACTACTCTTGCCTTTCAAGATGACTATCCATTGAATCGCGCGGTGTGAATGGGGGAAAAAATTGACATAATTAGCGAGATGCGAGAGCTATATACAGCTAGCTTCGATCGATTTGAACATATTTTTGCCCGAGTTTTTGTGCGCGAACGGACACATGTCCGATGAAAGATAAAATATTCTGATTGACGCGCTGTTGCTGCTGCACCACCATTGCCTACTATGCCATTTGCCACGAGTAATAGTAGTAGTAGTAGTAGTAGTAGTAGCTCTATATGCATAATGGCCGAACGCATTATCAATCCCATTCATGGGGTGATTCGAAAATCGTTTCTTTATTGCCCACCCCGAAGTGCGGCTATGAAAAAAGAGAGAGAGCGTGCGAGGGAAAGAAAAAAATCACGCGTTTTCGCATGGCTGGATAACGAGTTGAGAGAGAGAGAGAGAGAGAGAGAGAGAACGGCCGGGGGTACGCGCGGAAAACCACCAGCACCACCACCGATCGCTGGTTATATATATATAGAGAGAGAGGCGAAGAATGAAGAATAAAGAAAGGAGAAAAAAAATGAAGCATCGAGGTCGCACATATCTATCGGAAAGCAATTTGCGTAAATAATATCGCCATATTTGCTGCTGCTGCTACTGCTGCTGCCGCATAAAGAGCGAGAGTGTGTGCAAATGCGCTGCACTCCCGTGTTCATTGCTGGAAGGATATAGTAATATAGCTGCAATGCTGTCGACTACCCGAGTAATATACTCGAAGAAAAATGTCGAGCGTGCAGTGCGTCGCGCGGAGTGACTGTGTAATTCTCTTCCATCTCTCTCTCTCTCTCTCTCTCTCTCTGCGATATAACATACGTAATTCAGTAAAGTAACGCGTTGACAATACAGCTTTTTTATCGCATAGCATAAAATAGTGAATTAAAGCACTACGCGTGGATATGATACAAAAACAAAAGTAGCTGAAAAAAAAAAAATTAAACATTTCCCCTGGCGCATTGACCCACACCCACGCGATCGACAAATTGAAAATTGTACACGCCGTCCTCGTGCTACACCTATATCATTCTGAATTCACGCGGGTACTCCTTTCCTCGTTGTGTTGTTGTTGTTGTTGTTTTTTTTTTTTTTTTTTGAACATCGAAGTCCGCCTGGTCGATATACCGATGTTGCTCTACACGGTATATCGCGCGGCGATTGGCATGGGCATTTGGCTGCTGCTGGTATATATATACGTATGTGCCTCGCGCGTTTTACACGCGCACATACACACACACACACACACACAGGCGCGCGCGAGGCAATTTGCATGTAAATGCTCCTCTCTCCTCTCTCTTGCTCTCTTTGCCGTCTCTCGGATCCATGTATAATTCGCTTAAAGTATACGATATAAGGTAAAGCGTGTGCGCGCGCGGGGGTTGGATGGAATTCGAAAGCTTTGCAAGCTCGATCTCGACGAGGGGCCAGCAGCTGTACAGCATAGTAGTAGGAGTAGTAGTAGTAGTGCAAAACCACATTAGCCGTTTCTCTCTCTCTCTCTCTCTCTCTCTCTCTCTTCGACGTATAGTTCGAATCCAATTACCGGGAGGCAGCTAGCCGATCGTCGGGACCTGCACACGCTCTTAACCTTGTTACATTAACCGCTCTCCGCTCTTATACGAGAGAGAGAGAGAGAGAGAGAGAGAGAGAGAGAGAGGTGAGTTGGTTTGGGTGTTTGCGTGCTGCATGCGCGGCGGCGATCGGCGAAGCGGACCTCTTGTACGCCCGAGACTGCCCGAGTATATCTCAGCCGCGTGTATTTATACTACCTACCTACCTACCTTGCGGGACGGAAAGAGCAACTGAGAGAGCAACAAGCTATATAAACACACACATACACACCATCGTGCGGAGCTTGTTTTTGCCCACCTCGGCAGCTACTCCTCCTCTTCCCGCACATACAAACAAAATATGTGTTTAACGTGTGCAGTTCCGAGCGAGCTTGCAGCAGCGGCGACTCGACCCGCAGCGCGCACAATCTCTGCTTTACATATAAGATATGTAACTCTATACTCTCGTACTTTTTCGCGACTCCGACTGGCAAATCGTAAAGCTTTTCCGAGCAATAAATTTTACACGATGAGGGAAAGTGAAATTAGCTCTCGTTTCGAGCTCGATTTTAAACGCGCAGACATTATACGCATCGAGTATGAAAACGTGATCTTACGCGCTAGGAGCTTTCGATGCACAATACTGCTGTGTTGTGCGCGTTGAAACATAAAGAGCGCGCGTATCTGTACGGTACAACTCTATATGCAAAAAAAAGGGGGGGGGAGGGGGGGCTAACGTTACGAAATTATATGCGCTTTTTGACGGTTGTTTGTTCGCGACGGTGCACAATAACGACGCGAAAAAGAATTCTCCGCTGGAAATCCAAACTCGCATTATTTTCACGCTCTCCGCTGCTGCGCGAAGCGCGCGTACAGCTTGCGAGGCATACTGTATAAACCGATGAGCTTTTTTTCTTCTTGTTTTACTTTTTTTTTGCTTACTTAGCGTGCAACAAAGTGCGTTACGTTGTTATTGTAGTTTTTGTTTTCGCGCTTTTGTTCGACTCTTATTGCCACGCGCGCACGGATCGGGGAATAGATAATGCGGATAATTCAACTGTGCGCGCGTTCCGTGCGCGAGCTGAGAGAGCGAATGAAAAAAGGGCGAATCTTGGAGCTCGCGCGCTTTTTTTCATACAAGACTTTTAATTAGTTTTAAAACCTCTAGCGCGACCCAGGCACGTATATATCTATCGGACTGATCCCTTCGCTAATGAAAAATCGATCCTTTCTGACGAGCAGTAGCGCAAGCTCGCAAAAGCTCTGCAGGTGTCAAGAGCCGGGAGAAATATTCCTCCGAACGTTCCTCACTTTCAACGCTCGACTTTTAATTCTCCGCTGGTAGATGTGTTTCGCGTAAAATCAGTGAAGATTGAATTAATTCAGAGGGCTATGAGCAACGTTGATGTATGCATGAGAATCAGCGACGTTTTAGCTATATTAATAAACTGTCCTTGAAACACAATCTAAGTGCCGCTGTTACTCCATAGATCCGAAAATCTCTCTCTCTTCTGTCGGTGTATACAGTAGCTAAATCTTTGGAGCGAAATCCATTTTATAACCCGACCGAATTTGCATGCAGAGAATCACTTGCCTGGAGTCGGCGAATATAATACACCGTGCGCGCGCGCGCGCGTTCGGAGTTATATAACAGAGTTCAAAAGTTGTGTAATACCGTTTTCGCTTCCATCCGCCGAAAACGGCATTATGTTAACTCGTGTAGCAGAGTCCAAAACGGCGCGGCGCTTATAGCTCGTTTTACCATGTTTGTTCGTTACCAGCCAAATCCATTTTCGCGCTTAAGCGGCGCGGCGAAAATTTCTATTCTCCACGCGCTACGCAAGAGATCGAGTTTATCTTGTGCAATGCGAAAATCTAGGCTCAAATCCAATCTATAAGCCGCGAGACGACGACGAGCGCGGAATAAGCGCCAAGCCGCGATACTGCCAATGTGCTTTATACACCCCGAGTGCGTCGTCTTAAATAAAAAAAAAACTTCGAACGATCGATTTTGCGCCGATGTAAGATACATACAGAGCGAATAATGGCGAGAGAAAAAAATGGATGGGCTATGTACCGAGGTACACTCGAGGCTCTTTTTTACTTTGACAATTTTTTTTTCTCCCTCCTTTTTATCTCTGTACCTCTCTTTTTCCCCCTTTTGAGATACAAAAAATATATCGACTGATTTCACGTGAAAGCGAGATAGATATTCTATCTTTGCGCGCGAGAAAAAAAAATCTCTCTCCCCGCAGCGCAGCGCGAGAGATGAAATCGCGCGTATCATTTGAATTTGACGACGACGACTCCGCGCAAGAGATGAAAATCGGATTAGATCGGATCAATTTTACTTGACGTAATTCAATGACTCTCGCCCGCTGACGACTACTACTACTACCACTACTGCTGCTGCTGCTATACCGACTTTTTAAGATTCACTATGTAAAGTAGAATGAAGATATTCGGTGCCGAGTGAAAAAAAAAGTTTTGAAACAAAGTATCAGCTCGACGTCCCTCGGCTTAAAAACATAAGTAAAAAATATTGTTCCCGACACTTTGAAGTGCTGAAGCTTGAGCCGGGGATTATGTCTGTCGGCGCAACCTTAATTGCGCGTAAAAAATCGTCCAAGTTTTCGCGCGCGCCCGAGCAAAAGTGAATTATCGCTTGGAAAAGGTCAAACTACTACGTATATATAGCACGTGTATATTTCGTATGTTAAAATGAAAAAGTCAACTTTGTTTTTTTTTTTTAATTCTCTCAAATATATCCAATCCCCAGCGAATCTCTTCGCTTTTACAAATGATGTACCGACATTGTAGGTCACGTGTTGTATGTATGTACGTGTGTGTTTCATTTTGCAGAAAGCGACGCCGGTGGCTGGGGACCTTGGAGCCAGTGGACGCCCTGCAGCAGTTCCTGCGTCGGCGGCACGCGCAATCGTCATCGCTTCTGCGACACTCCGCCTCCCCGATACGGAGCCAAATTTTGCCAGGTGAAATATAGATTATTATTATACGTGTGTGCAGTCGCGAATGCCAATAATTTTCAAAATTATCGTTCGACTCCTTTGACTATCACGTCTCTTATTTTTCGAATAATTTCAAATTCGATACGAAAGTATGAAAAATCCACGGAACAAGCAACATTTCAATCCGAAAGCTCAGAAAATGTGTCGAAGCATTTTTATAATTATCCTGATAACGACGTTTCCTCAAAAAAAATTAGCAACGCAATTCTTTTTACAATTAGAATAAAGACTAAAATGTTGATAACCACACAGTAATTTAATTTCTTATACTTGGTAATTTGTTCGTTTATCCCCTCACTTACGTATTATCATAATATCGGCATACAAATAAAAACCCTCGATCTCACGTCGAACTATATGTGGGTCATCTGTAATATAATTTGAAAACAATCGAACTAATTTGAAATTATTATATTATGATTCGGGCGACATTTCCACCAGCGCGAACGTACGTAAACACACGCACTCGTGTTCCAGTACAACGAGTAGTGGCGCTCGGATTTCGGTTAGTCTCGATTCGACCGATCGCTCGTATTGTGATATACATACAATATATATATAAACGGTGTGACACGCGTACTCGTCCAGCGATTAACAGCCCAGAAACAAGATGTTTTCCCAATTGATGATGGATCCCTACGCCGATATTCTCAGCAAGTACGTCGGCGACAAAAACGTCGACAATTACGAGTTGACTCGCGTGGAAAACTCGTTCAAGAGTCTGAACGAGGATCTGAACTGCCGCATGCTGCGTCTCGAGTTTCGCCGTCTCGACGGAGCCGCAGCTACTGCTGCTGCTGCTGCAGCTGCTGCATTATTGTCGATCCAGGAGGAGGAGGAGGAGGAGGAGGAGAGAGACGACGAGGCCGAGAAATGGCAGCGATACTGGGGCGACGAGGCGCGCATCGACCTCGTCTACTACACTCGGCCGTTGGGCATCGGTCACCGGCTGCCGATTCAGCGCGGCTTCGACAAGCAGGTCGCGTTCTTCGGCCAGGTCAAGCCGGCCATCGACGGCGTACTGCACCACATCCTCGAGGATTCCGTCGACGAGTACGCCAGGCACTGCGTCGTGGCCCGACGCAACGTCCTCTGCTTCGCCAATCACTACGCGAACTTCGCCGAGTGTCCGGACGCGATCATGGACGAGGCGCACCTGCTGGCCGCGGCCGAGGCCCTGGCTCGACTTCACACCTACTCGCTGCTGGCCGGCAACGAGTTGTCCAAGCCGTTGGACTTCATTTACCCGGAGGCGTTCGAGGAGAGCGTCTTCGTGGAGACGCCAGCCGAAGTCCTGGACAGCTTCATCGAGATGTTCGTGGGGATGGCCGAGCACTGCTACCTCGACGCCCAGTGGATCGGCGAGTACGTGCGCGCGGGCTTCGAGAAGGCGAGATCCGCGAGGCTCGATCCGCGCATGAGGTCGACCGTCTGTCTGGGCCAGGCCGATCCTCGCCAGATGCTGTTCTACAAGCCGCACTCCGAGGATCCGGCGACGAGGAAGTGTCTGCTGACGGATTTCACCGCGACACAGTTCGCCCCGAGGATGCTGGACGTGGCGCGACTGCTCTACTTCCAGTACAGTCCGCTGCGGAGACGCCAATACGAGGGCCCGGTCATCCGGGCTTATTACGAGCAGCTGTGCCGGCTCATTAACGACGATCTCCATCCGGAGTCGCGCGAATTCGAGGATCTGATCGGCGAGTACGAGGAGGTCCGACACATCGTCATGGCGCTCTGCGTCTGCTACTATCCCACCGTGTACTGCGAGAAGAGACTCTTCCAGGATTACAATCACAACATCGCCGATTATCAGCGGAGATACTTCACGATCGAGGAGCAGAGCGAATTGTTGCGAATGTTCGAGACGGACGACGAGGCCAGAGGCTTCTTCGAGGAATTTACCGAGGAGCTCGTTATGGCCGCTGACAGATGGAAGGTCGAAGTGAGAGACCCGTTGGAAGAAAAGTCGAATTACGAGGATGCGGTCGAAGAAGAAGACCAACAAGAAGAGGCGGTGGAAGAAAAAGACCGACAACAAGAGATGGTGGAAGAAAAAGACCCACGCGAAGAGGTGGTGGTCGAAGAAGTATACCGAAGCGATGATGAGATCGAAGAGATACGCCGAGACGAAGATGTGGCCGAATTAAAATACCAATTAGAAGATTTGACCATGAAAGAATACCCGTACGAAGATTTGGTCGAACAAATATGGGCGTACAAAAATGTGACCAAAGAATCGAAGTTATTCGATGAATATTCGAATTAATTGTATTGTATAATTGCCAGGACAATGTTATTGAGTATATACGGTGTGAATTAGAGAAAACAAATAATTTTCATCTGAATGACTCCTTCTGATTAATGTTTACATCGAGTAATAATTGACGATGAAAATTGAATGACAAAGAGCTTGTTTCTAACAAAATGATTCTTATTTTTTTCACATTTAAATTTGAAATATTATTGAAACTAAAAAATGTAAACATCTTGTTAAGAATAATACACTCAGTGTTAAAAAAAAAAAATTCAATCAGAAAAACTTAGATAAAATTATTATCCCAAGACCAAAAATCACATGATAACTTAATGAATGATCGCTTCAGCGTCAAATAAATTTTGATTAGATTACGAACTTCCATTAAAAAATTAACTTATGTGGTTAGAATTAAAGCACAAAGTCACGTAAAAATAAAAATGAACAATTAATTTCCAACCGAACAAAAAAAGTTGATTTGTTTCCAAAATACTCCATGAATCTTTACATAGACACAAACTCAACATAAAAAGAACCCAAACAATTGGAATTTTACACGAGAGAAACCACGGAAAAATTCCTTTCAGAAAATTATATCCGAAGTAAAAGTCCTCAACGTACGATTTACTGTTTTTTTGTATACAGGGTGAGACCGTGCAGACGGAGCCGTGCGGCGGCTCGAGCCAGCTGGATCTGCGCGGGGCCTACAGTCCCGGCGACTGGGAGTGCCGCCACGGCGAGGGCTTGGCCGCCGACAGACCGGAGGTGACTGCCGAGGTCGGCGACAAGTGCCGCTGCGGCTGCTCGCTCAGCCTCGAGCGCGACCAAGAGTCCAAGATTTTAGCCGCGAGCAGCCGATACTGCCCCGGAAGATCGTTTTGGCTCGTTCAGGTATTGGATTTATTTCGAACTCCGCGTGACTAGAGATTCGACTTTTTTTTATTTATTCATTTGTTTATTTCGTTGCAGACGAATCCTGAATACATACTGCAGATATACTTCGATCAGGCGCGTTTCCCGTGCCAAGGCCAGTACGCACGGGTGCGGGACGGCGACCTGTTGATCGACGAGCTGCTGGCCGATATCGCGAGCGACAAGAAGGAGCCCGCCTCCGGTCAGATTCAGAGCTCGGGACCACGACTACTGCTGGAATTTTACAGCCAGGAATCTTTATCGACGGACGACGATCATCAAGCCTGTCTGGCTGGTTTTCTCGTTCACGTCAGCGTCATACGTAAGCACGTGTTAAAAATATTTTCGTTCGTTATTAAAAAAAAAAAAAAAAAAAAAAAAAACTGATACTGCAACACATGCGTGTGCGGCGATGACGCGGATGATTATTTTTTATGTCGTCGACAGCGAAATCAGCAGCGGCGGACAATCGGAGCGCCATTTACCCGGCCACGCTGGCCAACGCCAAGATAATGGCCGCGGCGAGCCGCTGGGCGATCTGGCTCACACCGGCTCATCTGGCCGCGGCGTCGCTGCTCTGCCTCATGTTCCTCGTCTCCGTGTTTCTGGCGCTGCAGTACGCATTTAAATATCGCAAGTACCAAGTGGCCGAGGATCTCGACAGTCTCACCGACAATTCCGGTTCGAAACTTTTCTCTCTCTCTCTCTCTCTCTCTTCCTCTCTTCGCATTCTCTAACACTCCCCCGCTTTGTTTCCAACTTTTCTTCTTCTTGCGCTTTGTTAATGAGCGCGCGGGTGGCTGCTAAGATCCGCACGACACCGAGTAGTAGTCGAGTTTCCGCCTTTGTTTTCCTGCTCGGCAGCTCCTTGATTCTTTATTACACAAATCCCCCATTGTTGCGAGCATTTCGAGTTCTCTGCTGCTGCTGCGCAACTTGGCAAATTTATCGACGATATATACTATACCGATGACGTTTATCGTGCAGCTTGCAGCGGCTCGATGCAGGGCCTGACGAGGCGAGCCAGAGCCGTCTCCTCGTCCACCCTGATCTCGGAGGTGGTGTCGCTGGTCAGGCTGCCGAGACGTGGCGGCAACAACTCGCCGAGGCACGCGAGACTCGACGAGTCGTCCACGGTCGCCGACATCGAGGAAGGATACGAGAGCACGGAAACTCAACCCGAGTGAGTTCAGATAGAGAGACTTTCCTTTCTCGTAATAATAATAATACCCATAAGGACGCAGAAATATTTGCCCCAGAACTTTTTATCCATCGTTATCTCGCTTGCACTCGTGGCTCGAGGAAAATACCTGCATATATATAAAAGTGATTTCCATTATTATTTCTATCGTCTTTGTCTTAAGAAAACTAATAATCAAAGTAAATGTAAAAATAAAAACTTTCCTCTCTCTCTCTCTGCGCGTCGTCGTACGTTATCGGGTCAAGAGAGAGAGAGAGAGAGAGAGAGACAGCAGAGTATCATTAACTTTTCGGCGAGGAACAAAAGACGCGCATCAACGAAAAGTCGCTTTACAGAAACTGTTTGACTAATTTCGTCTTATTAACTTTTAAGTAGATTCGCAAACAATCTTAATAGTCGAGCTCTCTGCGCGCGCTTGAATTATGAAGAGCTCGCCTCGCCCGAAAATCTTTCGAGTTCTTCTCTCCTCCTCGACCCTCGTCGTCTTACATCGAGCGAGATAGTGAGAAAATCGCTTAATTAGATTTTGCATAAAAAATCGCGTCTGTTTTATATTTTATACGCAGCGGAGACGAGGAGAGCTTGGGCTCGGGCACACTCAAGCCCCGGGACTCGGACGATCAGCTGCATCAGCAGCAGCCGCAGCGAAGCATCAGCGGCGGTGGCAGCGGCTCGCAGAGGACCATAGTGGCCGGAGGAGGAGGAGGAACGGCCGGCAACAGTGTGCGGAGCACTCCAACGAGGCGATCATCCGTTTCGAGCTCCTCCACGACGACTCTGGCTGCTGCTGCTGCTTCGGCGGGCGGAGGTTCTAGCGCGTCGTCGTCGTCGGCCAACAACTCACATGTCGAGGTCAAGTACGCCCGTCCAGTTAAGTAAGTTCGGCCTGGGCATGTTGCCTGTTTTTCATCTCTCTCTCTCTCATCCTTTAGTCCAATATTACTCTCGACGCAACACGACTTTGGTTTCAGCCGCATTCGCATTCTTGCATCGCAAGCTGACACGAGTTGCGATATATACTACCATATATATGGCCGATTCTCTGTGAAATCGAATGGCCAAAAAATTTTTTTTTCTGCAAATATGAAAAACTTGCTGTTTCCGATATCAGAAATGTCCCCAAATTTTATTAGAATTTTTGGGACCATCTATCACTCTTTTTCAGGGGCCCGAAGTTGGCCATTTTAGGGTTTTTTTGAAATTCATGAAAAATCACAAATATTCAAATAATTCCTGGATTAAAGTAGAATAATTCAAAAGTAAAAGTGCCCAGCAACTTTTTTGTTGGAAATTGTCCAAATTTTCAGAAAAAAAATATGCCAAAGTGATTGGAGCCACCCAAAGAGAGCATAGTGGGAAAACATAAAAAAAAAAACACAAAACAAGAAATCTACTCGAGTTCGAACCGGACTTTCATTTCCTAAACTATGTGAAAGTGGCTGTTTTTGGTGATTTTAGGCATTTTGGGCCTATTTTTGACCTTTTTTGCATGTTTTTCGCCACACATTGTTGTCTACATAACGTTAAACTTTAAGACCCATTACAAAACTTTATCAGGCATTAGTTGACATCTTTAGGAAGCTTTTCACATAGTTTAGGAAATGAAAGTCCGGTTCGAACTCGAGTAGATTTCTTGTTTTGTGTTTTTTTTTTTATGTTTTCCCACTATGCTCTCTTTGGGTGGCTCCAATCACTTTGGCATATTTTTTTTCTGAAAATTTGGACAATTTCCAACAAAAAAGTTGCTGGGCACTTTTACTTTTGAATTATTCTACTTTAATCCAGGAATTATTTGAATATTTGTGATTTTTCATGAATTTCAAAAAAACCCTAAAATGGCCAACTTCGGGCCCCTGAAAAAGAGTGATAGATGGTCCCAAAAATTCTAATAAAATTTGGGGACATTTCTGATATCGGAAACAGCAAGTTTTTCATATTTGCAGAAAAAAAAATTTTTTGGCCATTCGATTTCACAGAGAATCGGCCATATATATATATAATCGTCCACGCCATTCATTACCATATGCACACACATGAGATATATATTTATTATACATAGTTTCGTGCACGCGATTTTATAAATCTTTAATGCCCTTACTTTTATTATACTCTGTCGATAATGAGAAAAAAAAGAAGCGACGCGATTGAGTCACTTCGAAAAAGTATTGTAATTAAAAACCGATAATTTTCAATCAGAATGGTTATTTTAGATTGCACGTAAAATTACCGATCCTTACGAGAAAATATAAGAGAGTACATCAATTCGTATAACTACTTTTTTCAGCGATTCATCGATTTTACAAATGACGTTCATCAACAAATGTAATGAAACAAAAAAAATTTAAGAAAATAATTGTATGACTAACACAACTAAAATGCAATTGGATCTTTATGATGATAACAGAACTTTTTTTGTTAATGAAAGGAATGCGTGCATGTTTATGTTCTCTTTAGCAAGTAACACCTGCAAAAAAATCGAATGCATTACCACCCGTGAAAGATACTTTCGCATATTGCCCCGTTAAAAGCATGCATCGTATATTTTTAGTTCAATACTGAATGTTTCCATTTCATTTAATAGTGTCAACGAAAACTAACTTATTATTAAGTTACGAAATAAATGACAGGAAATATAAATAGTTAGTTTTCGTGCGAAACTTTCTTTGATTAATTAACTATATGACACTATCCAGCATTAGATATGAAAAATACTGCTCTAACATTATTTTCACTAACTTCCAGCTTCAAATATAATCTAGTTTAGAGAATTAAATGTTATTGATTGTTTTAGCCAGGCAGAATATGATATTCAATGTTTTTTAATATTCGAAACCCTTTCTACTATTCTAAATAGATTTAATAGATAAGTCCTAGTAGTACTAAGCAATTTCTATTTCTTAATTAATGTTACCTAGTTAATAAGTGTTAACGTAAGTGACTAATTTTAAAGAGTAGTTCTTCAAAAGAGCAAAAAAGAAAATAATGTTATTTTTGATTTTTATAGGCTTCGTACATTCGGGCCAGTCAGCCCCGTGTCAGAAGAGGGAACAACGTCAATGTCCGAAGATGGACGCCGTTTCAGCGCCACGAGCGCCTCGAACAGCCTGAATAACGTAAGAGTTGTTACCCATTCCAAACGAATTAATAAGCTCCTTCAGAACAAGGTACATCCGCTCAGAGTAACACAAATCACAAAATTTAAAAATTCACCGCTTTCGCTTTCGTGTGCACTTGTGAGATTGACGCCAAAAAACACAAAGAGCTTTGATTTTTTTTAGATTTTACATAAGTTTACATCTGGGTATGTTTTTCAAGCTAAATTAAAAAAAAAGAAAATAGAGCGGATCGATAGGGTTTGCTCTGAAGAAGAGTTCATTGTAAAATATCTTATTAAATTGAAAAATTTATAAACAAGCTGAATCAATAATGTAATTGTTTTGTCCTCGCCAGGGTTTCTCGCCAGCGAGCAGTTCGTCTAATTCGACACTCCGACGCTTCACGGGCAAGGAGTCGAAGGAACGTCGAAATCGCGAACGCTTGCTGGCCGGTCCAGGCTCCGAGTTCAGCCTGGCTAACCAAGACACCGATCTGGAACTCGATTACTACGATTACAACGTGGTGAACGCCGGCGCGGCGCCGGGCTCGTACCTTGGCATGGATCCGGCTTTCCTCGTCTGGATCCCGCCGATCGACGACGAGGACGCCGCCGTGCCGAGGGCAGAGATCGAGGACGAGGAAGAGGAACCGCACTACGAAGAGATCGCCGAGCTGAGGCCATTGGACACCGAGGGTGCAGCTCTGACCCCGGCGGAGTACAGAAAAGTTCGGTCGCGTTATCGTCACGACGAGTCGAGCGAAAACGACTCCGAGGACATCATAAGACCGAGAAAACTCGATCCCGGTGAGTGCAAGCTCCACGACGAGATCATCCAGGAGTACAAAGCTCGGCTGGGCGAAGGAATGTTGCCGATCCACAGGATACTCGAGGAGTCCCGAGTGCGAGTGAGCGAGGAGTCCTTGTCGAGTAATTCCGACGCGATTCCGAATCGAGCCGAGCCAGAGCCCGCCAAGAGCAAATCGTCGTCGACCGGAAGACTACCGAAGAGAATCAAAAAGCTGAGCAGGTGGAAATTGTCGAAGCGAGACACGAGGACGCCCAGCAGCGAGTCGAGCACGCAGTCTCTGGACGGTAATGAGACGGGCTCGAAACCCAAGACAAAGACCATCGTCAACGATTTGGATACCCCGAGAACTCGTCGCAGGTATCTTGGAAAAAATCAAGACTACTGCGACGTCAACATTTTGAACGATTCTCCCGTGCAAGAGGATGTCAGTCAGTTGAACGCGGTGGACGCTCGGAAGTCACCCGGCAGCGCGGTCAACATACCGATGGCGGAATTCTCGAGAAACAAGCAAGAATCTCCGGTGAAGGTTCACGGCGGCGGTAGCCGGAAAAACGTCACGCATCCGAGTCCGGATAATCACGAGACGAAGCCGTCGTCGTTTTACGCCCTCATCGGCGAGGGCGAGGACGGCATCAAATTTGCCGACGACGACGATGAATACATTGATAATAAAGTCGTAGCTTAAAAAAAAAAAATTGACGTAATTTATACATTTCAATAAGCCACACCTCTCAGATACTCATGACTGCACTCTGAATCGATTGTTAAACCTATTTTTAGTTTTGTATTCGAGGAAAAAAAAATTGTTAGTACTTTGAAAGCTTTCGTAAAAAATTCGAATTTATACCTAATAAGTAAATTTTGTAAGAAGGAGTTGTGAATTATTCGATTCTATTGTAATTTATTCGATTGTAAAAAAAAAGAAATGAAAAAATGTAATTTATCGAAAGGTGATAAAAGGGAAGAATAGATTTTACGTTTATTTTGAAAAATTAGACATCACCGTAGCTTAGCTAAAAGATGTAAAATTATAATTTATAAAATTTCTGTCAGACAGACGAAACTCTCAAGTTTCATATTTTCTTATCTTGTAAATTGAAAAAAAATAAGTAAGGTAAAAAAACTAACTGACAAATAGTGGGTAGAAATGTATGTCTGATGCCCTGGGCATTTACAGTGCAATCCAGTAAACTATGGTATTATGAAAAAAAAAACAGTATAATAATAGTATTGTCAGACAAGGCATTCAGATGAATATGAGATTATAATTTTATTTACAAAAATGAAATTAATATAATCAGTTATACAAAAAACCCCATATCACAATTGCGCATATGCCTTTAGACATTAACTATAGCTTGAATAAAAAATATTGTGTGACACCGTTTTCAAAAAATATTTCTCTATGATAATTCATAAAAAAAATTCATTTCGTTGTAACAAAAAATCTTCTTCGTCTCTGAGTTTATTTTACGTTATCAAAAATTAACTGATTTTTGTTAAAACTTTTTTTCTTAAAAATTTTATGACAATTAGTATATCATAGATGGCAATGAAATTGTACTAAACTAAGCTCATATCATTTTCAGTGCATTTTGTGCTTATTACACAAAATATGTCAGCACCAATTCAGTAACAAAGAGCATTAAATCGTTACATGTAAGACATCATATAAAAAGGAAGCAAAATATCTTATAAAACTGTTGTATAGGTGTTTTAATTACTTTACAATTACAAATCAGTATCAAAGTTATCTATTTCATTAATTTCTGTTGTCGCAACGATTTATAATTGTTTCATTTGTAATCCGTTGAATATTATTTAATTTATAATAGCTTCATATTGTACTTAATTTTTTTTACCGAAAAATCTGTATGAGAATACAACGCATTTGACACTCGTATGAACCAAAAACAATCATCGATTGAATTTATGTTAGGCAGAAAGTAGTTATTGCTTGATCACTTTAAATTGCAATTCTTTTTTCAAGAGATGAATTATAAAAATGTACTCATTCCATAAAAAATAATATATCATATATATTTTGACCGAAATAATAAAAAAGAGGTATATAAGGAAGTAAAAATTTTGTTGGGTAATAAAATTGTTGAAACAAAAAAATACACACTTCATTGTATCAAAATAGTGAGACCAGAACTCAAAATTCATAATAATAATAAATATAAAAAGAATATAATGTATATTTCTCTTTATAACAAAACTTGTAGCAGAAAAAAAATATAAGAAAAAACTATGGAATGGTATAATGTAAAGTCTATGTACTTATTTATAAAACTAATTGGTAGTCTGTAAAAACGAATGTATATTTATTAATAAATTGTTAATGCATAAATATTCTATTTTTTTTTTATTTAACCAAATCAATAATCTCGCAGAATTTTAAACATGTAGAGGTATGGGTAAGAATTTTGCAGAAATGATAAGTTACCGACAGAAGGGTGGAACACCCTTCACTGTATTTCCCAATAGTCGGTACAGTCTTATCTGTCGATAAAAAAGCTAATTTTTTCAACCTATCACCATTCAAACAGGGATTTTCAGTTCGAAGGAGCAAATTAGGAAATTAAATTTTTTTTCAGAGTTGAAAGGGTGACCACTTGATTCCTCGTGTTTAAGAGTTTACTTTGAAAAATTAATTAACAATGAGTATTCATGATGCAAGACCCAGTTTATTTGTAAGACATACAATGCGATTCATAATTCTTGTCTGTTCAATATCGTCTTATGATAGAGTTATTAATGAAAAATCATTTTGATTTCACTATTATTTCAATAAAAAAGCAACTATTTGCTTATAAATCTAATCGACATAGTTGTATTAGTGTTGCACATTTTCGACAAAAGCATTAGATACAGAATACATAAAGATAGATTGTTTTGTGCTCCCTGCTGTTACTTTTAACACTTTGTTCAAGAGCGTGCAGATTTAAGAGGATTTTCGATTACATAATGACACCCATCCCGGGGCAAGGACAACGCATATAATTTCGTCATTCATCGACGGATACATGACGACGACGACGACGACGCCGCCGCCACCCCACGCTCAGCCAATTCTGCCGCTTTTACCCCAAAAACATAGAATCCGAAAACCCTTCGTCAACATAATTTCGGCATTTATGGGATTAAATATTCGCCGATCGAAGGGTGGCAAGGAGAGAGCAGCGCAGCAAGCTTCAAGACAGATTGAGTCGCGCGCGCGCTCTTGCCCGCCAATTGATATGCCCCAGCTGTAACGGACACGCGCTTCGCTCGTCTAAGCGGATTATGCTGATTTTTTGCTCTTTTTTTTCAGCAAAACGGGAAAAATCGGAAGCACCGATCCGTAGTAATCCGACAGCTCTGGCAATTTTTGTCAAATAGACGGATAATGCATAAATGGAGGGGTTGGAGTTGGAGTAAGTAAAAGGGAGGCTTCGCCCGAGCTTCTTCGTCATATTACGTTGCGCGATGGTGTATGTTCGGAACCGCATTTGCAGCCTGCATCATACATTAAATTTTATTCAATACTTGATGATGATTTTTTTCTTGTGGAATATCAATCGATTGTGCCTTGCATTCTTGTCTGTGAACAACGGTTAAACATCCGTAATGATGGTTAAACGTAAACTCGAAGAAGTCCTGGCTTCACCCTTAAGAAAAATACCTTTCGACAAAAATGGTCGATTCACAAAAATTGGACGATTACCGTTTCTCAAAACTGCGCTTTGACCTATACAAATATTCGGACTTTGACACTTGCATGTTTACAAATTAAGGTACTCGCCCTCTTGCGGCGAGGGTTTAAAGTTTATACTATCATTGTCAAAGTGTCTGAAGAAAACTGGCCTAAATTTTTTGATAAAATTGAGCTCTCGTTGTTAGGTCATTTAAAATGCGCTCAATAATAATTATAGGATAATTGTAACGAAAAATTAGCCAAAAGAAAGCCAATTAACTGTGGTGTATTTTAAAATATTTTAAATTGTTATTTTCCGATCATTAGGACATTATTCATGTTGAACATTTTTACCATGGTAATGGCATTGAAGAAAAAATTAATTCGTTTAAGAAATCTAAAATATTAAATTAATTAAAATAAGTAGTCTAATATTGATACAAATTACGTAAATAGGCCATTAAAATTCGATGGATCTGAGGTACGCCTTTTTGAACTTATTTCTTATGTATTTGCTCAGTGCGATACGTCGAGCCAGTAATCCTGCAACTTATGGGTCCTAATTTGTAGTTTGTACCGAACTCGCTTCGGAAGTAGACTTGCTCCGCTCGGTGTAGTCATAATTCAGTATTACAACTAGTCTTAGTCAACACCTCCTGCCTTGACGAGACTCGAATGAAACCCCAAATTTTTCGTTTATTATTTAAAACGCAAATACGATTAGTATTAGAAAAACGACCCGTTATACATTTATGGGCAGGCACACAACTGTGTTTGTGTGTGTTGCCTTCGCCAGCAGCCTCATTCATCAAACTTGGCACAAAATTCTGGGTGCAAATTATATGTTTATTCTGAGTGAATTTATTTACTCAGAGGGGAGAGAAACGACGCTGGATTGGATCGTTACATTTTAATTTGCCTCTGTTGAATTGAGGTGCGCAAATGTAATGGACAAAACATTCATTCGAGTTGGAGCGAGTATTTATTTTTTGAGAATTAAACTATGTACTTTATAAATTAGCACGAAAATAATCAAAAGGTATCGTCTTTAAAAATATACATATACTGTTGGACCCAAAATTAATGTATTATATGACATTTGAGAGCATCAATTTCTCAACCATCGACTGACAAAAGGTCGCACACGCGCGATCCCACCGATCATATAGTTCGGCAAAACTTTAAAAGAGATCCTCGTGAAAGAGACACATACAGATATAAAAATGGTCAAATCCTATGCATTTTTTGGGTAATATGTATCATACCTCTTGGTCACGTAGAAGCGCAACACTACAATATACAATCAAAACGATTCCTGCATTCACGCTGCAATGTACACCCGATGAAGTTCGGGGCCTTTCTTTGTACCCACTCGTAACGCCCTTACACGCACAGTATGAAAAAACGACTCGACGTCTATGTACAGATTTTTTTTTCTCTATCTCTCTTGCCTTCTGCCTTTTTCTAACGCGCATCGAATCGCCGTAAAAATTTCTCTTCTACGAGCGCATATATACAGCCTGTGTTTCGCCCGGGTAAAATGACACCTATCAAAAAGAGCTGCTGCATCTTACATGTGTGTGTGTGTGTGTGTGTGTAATACATACAATGTGTGTACGTATTAGTAAGCGTCAAGTCGAGTAGGCTCTCGAAGTACATAACGCGCGCCCCATGGCATATTTACCAGATTTCGTCATGGCTTGTTGGTCACGCCGCGTCGTGTATATAGCGCGCTGTATACTGCTGCGATTACATCTCTTTGCCTCCTTTTAATGCATCTCCCGTATACTTGTATAGCTGTAAATTACGATTCGAAAGCACACACACCGACCGATCGACCGACCGACAAACGCCAGTTTGGGATAAATTAATGAATGCGCCGCGCGCCGGTAATATTAGCGGCATCGACATATATATACAGGATATAGAAGCTTCGAAGCCCCGTTGACGTATCAATGGGATGAAATATGATGGTCGAATAGAAAAACAATTCAAGCAGCTCGACGCGTCGTTTTAAGATACGGCTGGTGCTGCGCTTGACAGTGTGCCTGGGAGGATTTTTCGATAAGATTGCTGTGTGGAAAATCGTGTCCCTCGATATTTATTATATTTTACTTAGCGAACATTAATGTCGGAAATAATGTTTTTCGGAGTGTAAAATACATCATTGTAAATTAATAATTCGCATGAAAATCTTTTGAGATTTTTTAATATTTCTTATGATCAACTAATGAAAACATTTTAATCTTTTTTAATGATATAAAAGTACCAAAAAAAATAGGATTGTCCATAAAATTTCACAACCTATAAAAGTTAAGCTGAAAAAATAAGTTTTCGAAATACATCATCAGTTTTTACGAGGAGAGGTATTATTAAAATTATTTAATTTACGACTCGAGTAACGCTTGGAGTACTTATCACGAAAAAAAACCGTTTTTCCCATATCTTCGAAAATCCTTCATTTTCGGCCCTCTAGACCGGGGGGAGAACAAACCTAATCGAATAACCGCCTATCTTAAGCATTAAGTTGGAAACCGTTTAACAAGGAGAGCTGCTCCTCGCCGCGCGCTGCACTCGTCTATCTTCTCAGGCTTGAAACTCCGCCGCGCGCAGCAAGTACATAATCCAACAAACTGAATTTCGCCTCAAGTTTTAGCCTCTTGCGCACAATGGATCGATAAGTGCAGCAGCAGCAGCGGCAGCGTCGAATCTCGGAGCGCGCACGGCACACCATCGCGGCAACTCGTGGGCTTAAGTGTTCCGCAGGCTCCTGTAATGGAATTATTATTATTATTTTTTTTTAAGCTAGGTTTCGTGTTTACATATAGATAGAGCTGCGGGGATTATAAGAACGAGCGAAAAATATTTATTCGATTTCTTTTTGCGCGAGTCGGCAATTCTATTCGTAGGATTGATGCTACGTGGAAGGTTTTGAGTATTTCACGACATTTTACAGCTATATCGCGCTGAACTGTTTACCTCCGCGAATATCGCTATCATATACCTGCCACCAACGACGGAATAGTAACACAACGCGCCAAATCATTTTACGCCCAATAAAATATGACAGAGACAGGCATCAATGAGCAATGTACGGACGAGCAAATGCATCGATTCAATACAATATTGTGAAAGTGTGTACATAAACCACGAATTTAATTTCGACCCTAACGGCCTTTCTGAATGATTGAACAAGTTCTCCAGTTCCAGTAGTACTGCTGCTGCTACCACTGCAGTTCTAGGCCGCAGTATATAAATTATACACACACATGCGCGGATAGATAGATACAGTCCACTGGGCAATGACGATTTTATGGAGAAACTATTCTCGGACCAACCAAAAAAAAGGAAAAGAGCCCGACGTGTGTTAC